TAGTGGCGCCCTCCCTGTGGAACACACTCCCATCAGATGTCAAGGAGATAAATAACTATACAGCTTTTAGAAGACCTTTGAAGGCAGTCCTGTATTGGGAGGCTTTTAATGTTTGATGTTTTACCATGTTATACAGTGGTACCTCGGGTTAAGTACTTAATTCGTTCCAGAGGTCCGTTCTTAACCTGAAACTGTTCTTAACCTGAAGCACCACTTTAGCTAATGGGGCCTCCTGCTGCCGCTATGGCGCCAGAGCACGATTTCTGTTCTCATCCTGAAGCAAAGTTCTTGAACCGAGGTACTATTTCTGGGTTAGCAGAGTCTGTAACCTGAAGCGTATGTAACCTGAAGTGGATGTAACCCGAGGTACCACTGTATGTGTTGGAAGCTGCCCAGAGTGGCTGGGGCAACCCAGCCACATGGGTGGGGAATAAATATCATCATCATCATCTCATCTCTTTTATTCCTTTGCCTTACTCTGTGGAAATAGATTTGATAAACATCTGTCATGAAAGTTGTATGAATAACTAGGTATTGAAAAAGAAGTGATGGACCTTCAAGTAAACATGGTTAGATCTGAACTGGTCAGGCTTTCCATGCACGTTCATGCATCTTGGGTCTTGCTGTGTAGATTTGTTGTATCATTTTCACGTGCTTTTTCTTGGACAAGCAAGAGCAGCTTCCAGTATTGTTCTTCTACCATTAAGGAGCTGATCGGGTTGGTACGAATGAAATCCAGATGCTGCGAGATGCTTAGCAGCGAAGTGGGTGGTGTTCGAAACAGGGTTTGTATGTGTGTATTGCATCTGTGTCTCTGTGAAATGAATGCGAAGCAGCTAATTAGATTAAATAAGAATTTTCCTTCTTTTTTTGCTAGACATCAGATAGTTCAGTATCTTTCTGGAAAGGCAATATTCTTGCAGTATTTCCCCCCCCCTTTTTCCTTCCCTTTTCTTTACTAGCCACAATAACCAAATGGAGCATCCATGTTCAGAGGCAGCACAACTCTGAATATCAATTCTGATGGGCCAAAAGGAGGGCTATCACATACATGCCCTGCATGTGGACTTCCCACTAGACTACTGTGGGTAGTAGGCTGCTGGTGAGAAGCAGCAAGATTTTGCTTATGTGGTTATTAGTGGGTTGTAAACTGGACCATAAAGAAGGCTGATCGCCGAAGAATTGATGCTTTTGAATTATGGTGCTGGAGGAGACTCTTGAGAGTCCCATGGACTGCAAGAAGATCAAACCTATCCATTCTGAAGGAAATCAGCCCTGAGTGCTCACTGGAAGGACAGATCCTGAAGCTGAGACTCCAATACTTTGGCCACCTCATGAGAAGAGAAGACTCCCTGGAAAAGACCCTGATGTTGGGAAAGATGGAAGGCACAAGGAAAAGGGGACGACAGAGGACGAGATGGTTGGACAGTGTTCTCGAAGCTACAAACATGAGTCTGACCAAATTGCAGGAGGCAGTGGAAGACAGAAGTGCCTGGCGTGCTCTGGTCCATGGGGTCATGAAGAGTCGGACACGAATAACGACTAAACAACAACAACATTAGACCTAGGCTGCATTCTTAATCTCACTTAGCTGGGAGTAATCCCCAGTGAATTCCATCGGTCTTCCTCCCCTCGCTCAGTAGACATGTTTGGGATTGTGCTTGTGGGAGACCCATTGAAATCAGCAGGCAGGAACAACTTTAAGACCACTGATTTTAATAGGTCTACTCGGAGGAAGTCTAATGCGACACCATGTGCCCAGGGAAACCTCTCCCCCCTCCACTTTAGCATTAAATTGAAATTTAAGGCAGCAGATCATGTTCTTTGAAGAAGCTGAAAAAAAGGGGGGGAACACTTTTAGTTTTATTCTTATGCTTTTATATTCCACCATTTGGGGAAAATTTCATTGCACGTTACCTTATAAACACCAGTGCCGGTCTGTGAACAACATACTTAAACTACAAACCATAATACAATCCACGATGTGAACAAATCCAAAACAGACAGCAATAAATACGAACAGGGCGATCCAAGCCCCTTGTGAGCAAAGGTTGATAGGGCAATGGTGTTCCTGGGCTCCGCCTGGCCAGCTCTGCCTGCCTTTCACAAGCCACCACCTGCAGACAGGTGCCAGTGGTGCAAAGCTTTCCCTTCCTCCCACCAAATGTGTGTTTGTGGGGGGCAGGGGGGAGGTTGCTGGTGCTAGTGGTGGCAGCTAGAGAAATCCCATGGAATGGCGCTTGCTGGAGATAGGGCAGGGCTGATCCAGTTAGGATCGGCTGGCCCTTGAACCAACCCCTTCACATGAGATGGCATTGTGCCCAGTCCAGGCCTGTTTGCTGCCTGCCGTGACCTCTTCTCCCAGCTATCTTTCCCAGCTGGCTTGGCTGCTCCATAAAGTTCTGCTAGGCTGGGAAAGATCCCATTCTTACTTATTGAGAATATTTCTTGGATGCTTTTCGTCCAAAGATTACCGGGTGGTGTGCAGAAGCGTGAATAAAATGAATTCACAAAACACATACAGACATTTAAAAGCAACAAATAAGCATAATAAAATGCAAGAAGCCAAACCCCACCCCCAAAGAAACTGAATATAGAACACAGCCATAAATTCAAAAGGAGTTTGGTTTACATCACAGGTCTTTTATGTGCCCATTGAAGTCAGAACGTAACTTTCATTTCAAGTAAAGCACCTCAATTTTGCCTCGTTTTTGTTTTATTAAGCTTAGTGTTTTTATTTATAAGATTGAAATCTCAGCTTCTGACTTCTAAGAAGATACGTGGCATAATCATATGTAACTCAGATGTTTTGAAACAAGTTACTGTTGTTAGTTAGACCAGCCAAGCTGATCAGCAGCTGCTAGGAGGTCAGGTCAAACTTATGTTTATACTGTAAACTGAGGCCAGTAGTTCCTTTCAAATGATCCTAGGGCTTGCATGTACTCCATGGGACCTCTGCCCCACCCCACCCCCCGCCTGTCTTTGAGCAGAAGACCCCATGCCACATCACAAGCTGCAGCAATGCTCCCAGGGATCCTAAGCAGTTTGCTAAACTCTCAAGCTCCTCTACAAATGTCTGCCCCCATTTGAACAGCCTTGCCACTGTCCATTCCTTTGTAGGAACATTCTCTGGGCTGGTGATCACCTGATGTTTCCAACTCCCAACTCTCATCATCCCTGGCCATGCTGGCGAGCCAGTGTGGTGTAGTGGTTAAGAGTGGTAGTCTCGTAATCTGGGAAACTGGGTTCGCGTCTCCGCTCCTCCACATGCAGCTGCTGGGTGACCTTGGGCCAGTCACACTTCTTTGAAGTCTCTCAGCCCCACTCACCTCACAGAGTGTTTGTTGTGGGGGAGGAAGGGAGAGGAGAACGTTAGCCGCTTTGAGACTCCTTAAAGGGAGTGAAAGGCGGGATATCAAATCCAAACTCTTCTTCTTCTTCTTCTTCTGTGGCTGATGGGACTTGGAGTCCAGCCATATCTGGAGGAGATCCAGTTGGGGAACATTGCTCTGTAGAGCTCTTCTTTGGGATGCCTTTGTCTTCAAGGGTTTTGTGGGGATGAGGTGATGTTATTTATTGGGTCGATTATTATTAATACAGAGATTGTACATTCTTGGTTCTTTAGAAGTGTCTGTAGCCTCTTACGACTCCAACCTCTTTTTTATTTTGGATACTTTATTCTATATTGCCCAAATCCAGAGATTTCTTCCTTTTATCAGCTGATAACTGAAGCGCCCAGGTTTTTTTCTATTCAGTTAAATGAAGTGTGTAATTTGGTGGATGGAAACAGATGCATACTTCCAATATCTCCTTCCGCTGAAGTGGAAGGGCAGATCTATTCAGGCAGGAGCAAAGGCTGAATTGACACAAGCAGGCTCATCATCTGAGGACTGCAACACTTTGTGATGGCTTCCACACATGCGATAGTAATGACAGATCAAACACTACAAACAGAAAATCATTAACTTCAATAGAAGAAGCTCACACAGTCAGCTGTGACTTAGCAGTGGTTGAGCAACTGACTGGAGAAACACTGAATGACATATATGTATGTGGGTGTGATTTAGCCCTAAACCTTTCCATTCTGCCAAATGAAGTATTCTGTATAACCCAGAGGTCTGCATATGTCTCCAGAGGGAAGTTCATTGTATTGATGAGATACCTTCCTTTGAAATTTGTGAAGCAGAAAAATGAAACAAATAATTTAGCTAACTTATGTATTTATACGTTTGCATTTATTTGACTTGACAAGATCCAGCCATGGGCAAATCTTTAGAAATTCAACATGCTATTAATACATAATGACAAAGAAACTGATTATTTGTTAAATGTCCAAACATTGCTTCCAACACCTGGTAAATAATTTCTAATTTATCATTCTAAAATGAGTTTCGGCTAAGTAGAAAAGAATGCAACTTTCTTTATTTGAAAGGGGCACAACCTGACCAAAGTTAAGCACGTTTAAGCATATTAAGCATATTAATTCCAGCTACTTTCTGTATGGCTTCAGCATGTTTTTCAGTCCCCACAATCTCAGATTGTTTTTAGAGTGCTTGACTTTGTTGAATCGTGCTCTTCCAAATTAACAAACACACATCCAGCACTCAAAGTCTTTGCCCAACAATATCGACGGAATTTTAAAGTACTTACCTTTTGGTGCATCATGCCATAATTATTACAAGGAGAGAGGTGAGTTGTGTTTTTTTAAAAAGTTTTTTCCATATATTATGCTAATCAATATGATAAAAAATATAATCCTGTGGACCAAGGATTTTGAAAACATTTTACATGTGCCACACACATAATTATTTTCATTGATATTTGGAGCCACACTCCTTTTGAAGAGGTCATTATCTCGCTCTCTTAGAGGCAGGACTGTAATCTGAAGGGGGGGAAATAGCTTTGTCTGGTAACAGAAGGGTTAAGCCATTTCCCCCCTCACTTTGCCCGTTTCAAATTACAATGAGAAGCCTCTTCTCTCCCAGCAGGGTTGTGCTTACATTAGCTTTTAGATCTCTCTTGAAGGGAGCTGCTATGTTTTTGCCTGCTAGAGGTGGAAATAACAGTTAAGGAACTCAAAGGGGTTGGGTGGATTTTCAGCAGGGTCTCTCTCTCTTCCCCCCTTCCCTGAATGAATTCAGGGAAAGGCCTTTTAAATGTTTGGTGCATGTTTCAGATTTGCTGGACATTAAGGAGAGAACTTAGGATGTTAATAGTCTCAGCTGATTATTAGGGGGGAAATTAGATGTTACACCACCAAGCTGCAGCTCAGACCAGGAAAGAATGAAAGGTGGGAGAAGAGTCTTAAGCAGTTAATTGAGCTGAAAACATTGCAGGAGAAGACTGCTCTGAGAATGCCTCCTGTGTGACTGAAGATGGTCTGTCGCTTAATAGAACCACATCCCCCAAAACTGGTTCTTTACGGTTCTTTACAGGAATGCCTGCATCAACTAACCAAGTTCTGGTCCTCTGCTCCATCAATGCAGAAAAAACAGTAACAACAGTGGAAAATTGGAAGTCCGAATTTCAGCTTTCTTAGAAAGAACTGCGCCCCGACACATCCTGTAATATTTAAATAAGCGGAGAAATAAAACCAGCAAGATGTTGTGCTCAGAAATGACAACGTTGACATGAAGAATAGGTAATTTACAGTTCACCTCTTTTTTTTTTGCCCCCTACCCCCCAGCCACCAGGAAAGCAGACCTCATAAGAAAAAGTAGAAGGTGGAAGAAAGGGATTACTTTTTTGTTGTTTTTATTTATTTTGCATATTGAGATTTATATATATATAAATATGGACAAAACTGTGCTCAAAGCTCTGGTGAGCTTACTCTGGAATTGTTGGATTCTAATGGGTTCTGTGAAGGCAGGCATAGGAGACAATCACGTCCACTCCAGTTTCATTTACAGGAGATTGCGGAACCATGAAAGAAGAGAGATCCAGAGAGAAATTCTCTCCATCCTGGGTTTGCCTCACAGACCCAGGCCATTTTCACCTGGAAAGCAAGCTTCCTCAGCACCCCTCTTCATGCTTGACCTCTACAATGCCATGACAAATGAAGAAGATACTGAAGAACTGGAGTATTCACTCAGGGGATCACTTGGCGGAGAGAGCAAAGGGCTGAGGAAGGGGTACCCAGCATCTCCAAATGGATACTCTCGGAGAATACACATATCTCGCACAACTCCGCTGACTACACGGAGCCCTCCCTTAGCTAGCCTGCATGATACCAACTTTCTGAATGATGCAGATATGGTCATGAGCTTTGTCAATTTAGGTATGTTGCTTTCTTTCTTTCTGATACGTTCCTCTGTGTTTGACAAGCTAGGAGCCAGGACCTAGAAGCTGGCTTCTGTCATGGCCAAATTGGTCCCTGGAAGGCGTATTAATAATACAAGCTGATGTTGAGCTAATGCTAAAACAGGCTACATTGTAGGTGGTCATGGGGTGTGTAGGTTTCTCTCACTGTTTATGTTAAAGTCAGTTTTTATAATTCTCCTCTCTCGACTTCTTTCCTTGATGTAATGAAGTTGTGTAGCTTTAGGCTAGTAGCAAGGGTTTTTATTTGGTGTTTTTTTGGTAAAATCTTTTTAAAAATAAGCACGTGAGTTGGTGGATTATGCACTACAAAAAAAACCTTAAAGGAATAGGAAGTTGAAGCGTGTTATTTGAAAGTTACAGAATTGTGTGGGAGAAGAAGCAAAAGGACAGACAGTTTGGAAGATAAATTTTAGTTGTTTCAGAGATTATAGATAGTGATTCAGCCTTACCTTGTGCAGCTTTACTTGGACATAACTACTGTGGACATAACTAGTGTGGGTTATTATTATTCTCTAGTAATTGTGCATAAGATTGCAGCCTTATAAAGATTTCACATCTCTTGAGATTTTTGTTGCTTTTCCTATCTAAGAGGAAGATCTGTGGTGAATATTCTTGTATTGTGGGATTCACTGCCTTTCCTTTGTTGTTATTTTATAGCCACAGTTCTCATATTTGTCTAAGTCTGGGAGCCCTCCCCCCCATGCATATTTGAAAAATATTAATTCTATAATATTTAGAATCAGAAACATAATGAATGGAGCATGTTTTAGAGTCTTCAGTTTTTGAGTATATGATTCAGGGAGGAATATAACTACAATACACTGCATAATGAAATAATGATCCACATGCCCACCTTGCAATAGAAAAGGTCAGTTTAAGAATGTTGTTACTAAGCAATTGTTTACCAGTTTGCCAGTTTTCAGTTCAAGGGGGAAAATATCTTGCATATGCTGTTCTCTAGTAAGGAGTGTGTGTTCAGCTCTTCAAAATAACCACAACAACATTATTTCCCCTAGTATACAGCTATTCTTTTCAGCATATGACCTGAAATATCTTGCAATGGCTGTGTCTTGTAAATAGCATCTTCTGAATTTTTATTCGCTATAGTGAAGTTACTCCAGTCCTCAGTTGCTAATACCTTATATCTTAGAAAGCACCAAATGACAAAGTTCAGCTGCTATAAGAATAACAATATTTTACCAGTTCTTTGGTAGCAGAAAGCTGATTTCAAATCTCTTTGAAAATGTGCTATTGTGTGCTTTTTAAGGCAATTGCAGTCCGGATTTTTGTTTGTTTTTGTAAGTATAACTAGTCCTCAGGAGTTTTATTTCTCGCATTCCTTTCAAATGTTGTCCTACTGTTACCTTTGCTTTGCCCTTATCTGTAGCTTGATTTAACTCCTGTGCCCAAAGTAAAGTTGAAATGGCTATATAGACCCACGCATATTTACTAAGGGAAGCCAAGGATTCCAAAAAGTACCAAGCAAGTGTTTAAATTTATGCATTTTAACAGAGATCCTTGATGGAGGCAGATTGACGTATCACTTCGTATTCGTTTGCTCTGACTTGTGTCAGGACTGAACTCCACTGGTTCAAACAGGATCATTCAGTAAATGAATGTGCTATTAAGGAAATACAGTACCTGCATCCCCCACGCCCGAATCCTTCATAGATCTTCAGGGGTTAGAGATTATGCAGAACACAGACTGCATACAACTGTTACAAGATTTGCTTTACGGACTATTGTTTTTCTTATGAGTTAGATTCCCACCGACCCCCTCCCTAGATCGTTATTGCTTATATCCTACTACTTTGGAAGCACTTTAAGAAGCAGCTGCATATCAGAGTCTTTTTATGGAACCTGGAATGGAAGGCTTTTTTTCCCTCTTGTGGTTACTATGTGCAGTCATTATTGAATTTCAAGCTTTATTAGGTTTCTATGAGCTGACCCAAAGTATGCTACAGTTTTTCACCCCTCTGTAGTTGTGCGTTATGTAGCTTCTAAAGCATTTCCCACTTTGCGACATTGATTTCAAAATATCAGTGCATAACGTGAGCTAACTAAACATTTTAATTTTAAACATAGCCTTCTGTCATTGCCATACAATTAAATTATGCTGCAATCCTATACCCACCTACCTGGAAGTAGGCAGCATGAAATGCCGTGGGACTTTTCTTCTAAGAAGACATGTATAGAATTGCAGGGTTAATCCTTTATGTAGGCAACTATCTTCTATTATTTATTTGAAAACCATCAGGCAATCTGGGTTAAGGTGTAAAAGGGAAAAGATGGGAGCGACAAATGGGCAGTCCTTGTTTCAACTCCGCAAGATTTGTTTTACAAAATAATTGAAGCTCTTTGTGACTGGAAGTATCACTGAAGTTCTTTGTGATTCGAGCTATCAGTCAGTTGCAATCAAATTGCTCTGTTTTGGAAGGAGCTGACCGTGTTTAAGTGGAGGGCTATTATCAAATTACAGTACATTAATCCCCCATGAGGTGATAAAAGAATTTGCATAAATCATTGCATTGCCAACTGTAACTGTTAAAAAACCCATATGCTAAAAATAACAAACGTGAAGTGCTAAGTCTTAGAAATGCTGTTTTCTGTGAGCTTGAGGTAATAAAATTAGTCTTGAGGGACACGTGTACTATGAGGCATTCCCGCCCCCCCCAATTGAGGAACAAAAGGTGGTCATAATTATTCTGACAGAATAATTTTTGATAATGTTTGCATGCTTTGCTAATGAAATTTAGAAGTGCCTGAGGGGTTATTGAAATGCTAATTTTGAAATCAAGCTAGAGGGGAAAACGAAGTAATCTGCAATTCAGAGGATGTCTGCCTTTTCATCATCTCTGAATCCTGATTTCTTCTTCTTAAGAAGAGCAAATGTATACTTTTTTAAAATTTGTGTTTTCTTTTCTGCTAGTAGTATTCTCATTTACCGGTATGTTTATAATAATGTAACCTCTCGTTCTGCTCTTCCCTTTCAGCTGACGTTTGTAACACTGAAATTGTCACCAAAAACGCTTTAAATTTATTGAGAAATAATTAACTTCAGTATTCTAGTACTCAGAGACAACCAGGACACCTTACTTAACAAAGATAGGTAAATCCATGCCTTTGTTACTATTGCCGTTATCTGATTATGGTAGACAAAAGCTAAGAATAGTTTTACCTCATAGTGCCCAGCTTCTCCTCTAAAAGGATCTCCAAAAATTGAAATAAAAACTTGCCAACATTTGGAGATTTGTTTCCATTTTTAGCTTAAATTTATTCATTAAAATTCATGTCAGATACGGAATCTGGTTGTTTTCACACCCCACCACTTTTTCTGTTGTGTACATTAGTTTTTGAAGAATTGTGCTTAAAAGCTGAACTGTATAACTGGCATGGGATTTTGATAACATGCCCCCCCGCCCGCTGTCAGACAGGAAGGGGAGATACAGCATTTTGGAAGGGGTTTTCAAAATCTGTACTAATGTGTGATTCAATCCTGGTTGGAAATGTTGATGATGATAATAATAATAATAATAATAATTGTACTTAAGCACAGTTCTGTTCAGTGATTCACTGGTGAAATAAAAAGGTTGTCTAATGCCCCACTCCCAGGTGATCATTGGAGCTTTGTCTAAGACTAAGTGGATTGCCGACATAAAACTATCTACTCAGATAGACCTCAAAGGATCACTGGGGTTGGGGAACTAGGCTACCTTTTTATTTTACAAATGAGTTGTTGAATAGTGGAAGGCTCTTTACATTCTGTATATTACTTTCAATGAGACTCCCATGAGAGTGAAATAAATACAGGCAGTGGATGATTGATGCTTGGCGTATTGTTCCCACAGATAATTCCAAATTCAGTAGACACTATGATTGTACTTATCCTCAATTTTCTTTTTATTTACCAATACTGTCAAGCTGTAGGTTTGAGGATTGAAAAGCAAGGAAGTAATTTATTAGGGTAGTATTCCACTAAGTTTTATTCAGAGTACACCTACTGAAATTAATATCCATTAATTTTAATGGATCTACTCTGATTAGAAATTTGTTGAATACCACCCTTAGTTAGATTCCACTGTAGATTTTCTGTATCAAATTCTTGAATGACCCCCCCCCATTACAAGCAGCAGGAATAAGCTGAAGAATGGGAGTTTTTAATTCATCTTTTTCATCTTATCAACTACTATTATTTATATACCTCTCCATAGTTCAAAGAAATTTCTGAAAGGTTTACACACATATATACAGCGGTACCTCAGGTTAAGTACTTAATTCGTTCCGGAGGTCCGTACTAACTGGGAATGCCTCATAGTACACGTGTCCCTGAAGCATCACTTTAGCTAATGGGGCCTCCTGCTGCCACTGCGCCGCCGGAGCACAATTTCTGTTCTCATCCTGAAGCAAAGTTCTTAACCTGAAGCACTATTTCTGGGTTAGCGAAGTCTGTAACCTGAAGCGTATGTAACCTGAAGTGTATGTAACCTGAGGTACCACAGTATATCACTAAGGAAAGACCAGGATCCTGAAAAGCATTGCAGAAACGCTAGGATTTACACATCTTGTGCAAAATGAGGGCCAATTCATTGGGTTTTGAGGTTGAGTTGCCCCACTTCATATTAGCAGGGCTCTCTTATCTTAATGAGGAAAAAAAGTGACTTTTGGGCTATGCATGGAAACAGCCAGTTTTATATACTACTGTAACTGCCAGTAAAATTGGCAGCTACTGCTAGGTGTGGGATTTTTTTTTCCTTTTTGAAAGAAGCAAGCATTTCCACAAGCAAGGAAACAAACCTGTGTTTCCTCCAGTACTCATAACATTCTGATTTATGCTCATGGTAGCATAACACCTGTTGCCTCTCTTTCAGTTTTCCACAAAAACATGTTTGCCACAAACTTGGCCAACTCAGTTGTGATGGTGGGAAGTATTGTCATACTAACCTTGGAAAACCTGTAAAAATTGTATTCCCTTTATTTGAAATGAAACCAAGTTAAATAGCATGTTTCTCTTGCCTGGCAGCGCTCTCCCACATTTCCAATTTTGCCCCTCACCCCCATTTGCTGGTTAAGTATTATATTCACATAAAGAGGTCAGTCAGAAAGGTCATGAATGATTTTGAAAATTTGGTACAGAAAACAGGCAATTCACATTAATGAATGAGTTCTGAAATAGATATATGTGTGTGTGAGTTATGTGTACAGTTAGGACATTTACTCTAACAGTTCTGAAGTAATTGATCCAGCAGTGTTTTGAAAACATATATTTTATTTTGTTTTTTCTCGTGGATTTGAAAGAGACTCAGCATCTTGGTTTGCCAGAAAAATATGAAAGAAATCACCAATAACCCAAGAGAAACTGATGTAGCAGATGGCTGGGAGTGTATGGTGAAGGGACATACATATGTGTAAAAATATGTACTGTTATTAATAGTTTTGCCATTAGGAAGGAGACTGATACAGTTCCGCTTGTTTTTTCAGTATCAGTTGCTTTTTCAGACTAAACAGACTTTGGGCGGGAAGCTGTGGGTTAGGTACAATACATGTCTTACTAGGGAAAAACACACTCATGCACATAGAAAACCTCATAGCAACCGTGAATAGCAATTAAAGTCATCCATAATAACACCTCTTGGTTGTTGATGCAACCTTTTGTTTCCTGGAAAACCATGTGGTGCGTAATATTCCTAACCAGCATGCCGGTTCCTACACAAAGACCTCTGTGACAGCTATCCCTGGCTATGATGAATAATAAGGCAGGCTATTAGGTATTTGCCATGTGAGGAAAGTGCTTGCATGAAGAATGACTCTCTAGCGGTGAGGTGGTGATTCTTTCCCTGCTTCCCAGGCTGCTCTTGCAAACCCTTCTAAAGAAACCTTTGGTTGGTTGGTTGGTTGGTTGGTTGGTTGGCTGGCTGGCTGGCTGGCTGGCTGGTTGATAGGCTGTGCTTAACTGCATGGCTCCATTAGCACTATACATTTAATGCAGTCATGTCTTCCCCCAAAGACCCCTGGGTAGTGTGGCTTGTTAAGGGTTCTGGGAGTTGTCACAGATCTACAGTTCCTTGGAAAGAGAGATTTACTCTGTTAAACCACTCTGCGATTTGTAGCTCTGTGAGGGAAATTGGCTCCCTTAGCAACTCTCAGCACCCATAACAAACTACAGTTCCCAGGATTCTGTAAATATAAAACATTAACGCAACAGAGCTGAAGTAGTGTTTAACAACAAGATCAAAGCCCATAATACTATAGAAGATCTAGTATTTAAAACTGTGTTGATTGGTGCTCTTCGTGGAATGCCATCCAGAATCCATGGTAGATGTGGGATTTGAACTTGAATTCCAGGTGCATCTAAAATACTAGCTACTGCAACGTAAGATCAAGTAGGATGCAGTTTGTGAACCAGTCCATACATGCTACTGGTTTTCACCCTAACTATCCTGTTGCATGTAAAATATTCAGTCTTATCAGAAAGCATTGTGGTAGAGATGGTGTGAGATTCTTTGAAAGTGAAATCTGTGGTGTGTGTTCTGCAGTGTGCAAGTCACACTCACGAGTGACTATGTGAGGGTGGATTTATGAATATGTAAATCACACATCTATAGTAGCTATATTTCTACCATGGAAACACTGATTGGGATACAATTTGGATAAGCCCTGCTATTGTGTTATTTTTATGTAATCCTTCTGTGGGTACTCATTCTTACAAATGTGCTCCCAAGTGACAGAATCAAGATACCACCATAGGAAATTAGCTTTCAGTAATTGAATTTCATGGTGTGTGTTTTTTACTTGCATTATGCAGCAGGCGAGACAACATAGATTGTGGTAATGTTTCTGTGTAACTAGTGATTGTGTGAACTTGCCGTTAGCGTGCAGCAATGCTTGCAATGTTTGACCTAAAAACAGGGATGCAAGGAAGCAATCATATCCATTTCAACCTGTATTCATTACAGCCAGCACTGTTTCTGTAGTGCTACAGTTTTATTATCACCAAATAATATTATTTTCTCTGTCCAACATTTAATGCAAGTTACGTAACTTATGTAACTTTCACCTTACATTCATTTCAATGAAAAGGAAATGCCAGAACAATGTAAAAAAAACAGTTCTTATTTACATGTTGCTTGCAGACTAAAAACAACATAGTAGCTGATTTTTGCAGACTTAAAAACAATGTAACTTGAATATATTCACTTAAGTGATTTCCTTTCCTGCCCACAGAAGCACATGAACTACAGCAATTTCTACTGCACTTCATTTCCCATATTTGTTGGAATTCTCTGACTTCCTTACCTAAAAGTAATAGTAGTAGCAATAATATAATTTTGTATGCTGCCCATCTGACTGTGTTTCCTCAGCCACTCTGGGTAGCTCCCAACAGAATACTAAAGCACAGTAAAACATTAAAAACTTCCCATACAGAGCTGCCTTCAGAAAACTGGTGGGCAGTGGGATAACATGAGGGTGGTACATTGGGAAAAATATTCTAGGAAAAATGAAAAGTGAAATAAACAATAAAATATGACAGTATGTTAAAAAGAGAGCAGCCGGGGGGGGGGGGGGATATCACAACTTTAGTACCAGAGGGAGGGATCCGAATTGCTGAGGCCTCTTTAAAGTACAGCAACCACCTCAGTTCCAGAAGCAAATCCTTTCATCCCAGCAAAGTAAAACACACGCACCAAAAGACCCCATCCCACCTCAGTATGTGTGCATGCAGAGAGTACATAGAGCAGCTACTAATGCTTCTGGCCATAAATAACATAGTAGCTAGCTTTCTAAAAACCACAGGTTAAAGGATGAGGGCTGCCATGACGCACACAGAGAGGCTGAGATCAGAAGAGAAGCAAAAAAGGAGGTTAGTCAAAACAATGAATCCCCTTGTTCGGAGTCATATTTATGAGTGCTTCATTGCACCTAAAGTTCATATTTTATTGGCTAGGCCATGGGGTTTCCCCATTTGCTCATCTCTTAAAATAACACCCCTGGCTAAAGATTCCTATAAAACACATGAGTGCTATAGCAGGCAAAACCTGTCAGTCCTGACAACCGGTTAGTTTGTTTTGGTGGAGTGGTGTTGGAGGGACTTTCAATTTTTGCCCTGAAGATTGAGATGTTTTCTGTGCAAAGTTGACCGTAGGGCGTTTCACGTTCAGTCCTCGTTTTGAGACACACATTTCTTAAACATTGTTTGTTTGCAGGCTATTAGTCTACGTTTAATCTCTCTGTTTGGTAACCCACCTTGTAGTTTGAAGAAAGTGTGGTGTGTAATAAGCAACCCATGGAAAAACAAAAAACAAAATCTATGCTTCCATCATGAAAAAGATGCCACCAAAATCCAATGGGCAAATATTCGTGCTGTTTCTATGGTGTTTAGAATGCTTCTGTTCTCTTGGCTGAGGCTAAAGGTAGGTCATAGCTCAGTGGTGGAGAATGTTCTTTTTCTGCAGAAGGTTCCTGATTCAGTTGCCAGCATCTCCAGGTAGCACTGCCAGTTAGTGTAGGCCAGGGCTTTTTCCCCCAGGTGGAACTCGCTGGAACTGAGTTCCAGCACCTCTCAGGTGGATGCCATTGCCATTCTAAGAGAAAGAGGTGAATTCCAGCACCTTTCCCCTGCAAGAAAAATAGCAGGGCTGAGCTAGACCCAACAAATGATACAGCAGCTCCCTATTTTCCTATATTATGCTGTTTCTTTTTCCCACTTCCTTCTTTGTCCTTATAGTTCCCAGTCCTGTTTGATCACTGTCACTCACAACACACAGTTGTTCTGTTTCCATGCATCTGTGCAGTCCTCACGTTGGACATACCAAATATTTACATACCGGTAGGTCATCCTGGCCAATAGAATTAAAACAGTAGACTGGACAAAAGTGGCCAAGGAACTGTACTGTGGTGGCAAAGGGAAAATAGAGAAAGGGCAATGAGAAGAGTTGCAGTGAAACAATATGGAAAACTGGGAGCTGCCTTTCAACATAATAAGACAAAACATGTAAGTTTAGTCTCAGCCTTGCCAAGAAATTCCACCCAAATAATTTGTACAACACTCCGTTTCTGCCCAAACCCGACTTATTTATAAACAAAATATATGCTTCTGTCCAGCTGGACAATGTTAGGAGTTAAGTGCCCTTCTTATTGGAGAAACCAACACATTTTAGAGACCCTGTTCCCCAAACAGAAAGACTAGATTCAGTGTCTATAAAATCCCCAAGAGTAACCTATTTCTGCTTATGAGCAACTGAAATGGAATGTATCCTTCAATAGTTAAAATTTATTGCTTGTGTTTCAATTATATATTCTTCCAAAGCATCTTTAAAAGGGGATTTTAATGGATTGTTTGAATTCATTGTCTTGATTCACAGAATTCTGCATGCCATATTTTAGAGTGCGGTAGCAGAATCTATGGCCTTCTGTACGTTGTTGGGTTTCAACTCCTGACAGCCCCAGCCAGCATGACCAATGGTCAAGAATGATGAGAGTTGTTGTAGCCCAACAACTTATGGAGGGCTTCAGGTTCCCTGATCCTGGTTATGAGAATCAGGTTTGAGCCATGGGCTGTTGTATGTCCTCCTCCCCTCCCTCCTGTATAGGTTTGAACTCTTGCCTTTTCAGCCCTAACACTAGTTTCTCATGATACCTGACTCTGCAGATGACACAATTCATTCCAAATCAAAGATTGCACTCCCAATTCCAACCATGGATTCTGCCTGTGTTTTGGAGGGAATCGCTTAGCAGAATTTGCCAAGTTGGATGTCATGGCAAACCATGGTTAGTGCTAAATTGGAAATGGGAACACATCAGTCCATTGTCTGGGGGAATCTACTGACTTCAGCCTATATATGTGTTTTAATTACTTAAAGTAATATAATATTCTGCTCAACAGCGCAACAAAAATTTGATTCTGGGGTTTCTAAGTATTGCGCAAGTGTCATGTTTGTGGTGGACAAAGTTAGTGCTACTACAAGTGAATACAGAGTATGCAAAAGGTATAATGCAGTACAGTGGTACCTCTGGTTAAGTACTTAATTCATTATGGAGGTCCATTCTTAACCTGAAACTGTTCTTAACCTGAAGCACCACTAGCTAATGGGGCCTCGTGATGCTGCCGCGCCGCCGGAGCACGGTTTCTGTTCTCATCCTGAAGCAAAGTTCTTAATCCGAGGTACTATTTCTGGGTTAGCGGAGTCTGTAACCTGAAGCGTATGTAACCTGAAGCGTATGTAACCCGAGGTACCACTGTATAGCTATCTGTTACACACTAGACTTTTAAAGTACATTCCCGCTTCCTCCCAAGAATTATGGGAACTGTAGTTTACCTCTCACATAGCTACAATTCCCAGCATCCTTAGCAAACTACAGTTTGCACTTTTAATGTGCTTTAAAAATCTGGTGTGTTTGCAGCCTTAAAGTACAATCATATGCCTGGTTACTTGGAAGTCCCATTGTGTTAAATGTGGCTTGCTCTCTAGGATATGTGTTTAGGATTGCAGCCTTTATGTATTTAATCAGGAAGGCAAAATATAGCACACTAAATTTATGAAAACTGAATTGCCTAAAATGAAATTGCTTTTTATTTTAAAGTTGCTTTAAAAAAACAAAACAAAAGCAAAAACCAATACTGTGGATTCATTTCAGCCCTGGCCTTTGCGTGATTCCTTGCTCGGGCCAATTTTTATCTGCTGACCATCTGACCCCTGTTGTTAATTTTACTTAATTGCATCCTGTTTCAATGTTTTGCAATGAGGATGAAAGTTCTTAAAGCCTTATGGAGAGGATATGAAGGCTAATAATAGCGAATGTTGTAATAAAGCCCAGTCTCATGAGGTTATTTCTTTAGTCTGATGGGTGGCATAGTAGTTTCAAGATCTTTAAGGTGAAACTCTGAATCAAGTTCTTTTTGAAGAGGGAGATTGTCTTCCTGTTTGCTTTTTTGGGAGTTGGAAAGCATTATTTGGGATGTAGCCCCTTTGAATAATCAGTAACAGCACTTGAGTGCAGATAGGGTTGATCTGAGACTTGCAGATGTCACAAGAAGCATCCATCTGGAACATAGCAAACTGTTTACATCGGGTCAAATTATCTGATCACCTAGTCCAGTGTTGTCCACTTTGACTGGCAGCAGTTCTTTAGGGTTTCAGGCTGAGGTCTTTTCACATCATGTCAGATGGGTGGGGTACAAATAATAAAATTATTATTATTGTAGTTATTATTATGTGCTCTTTGATCCTTTTAAATTTTAAAATACAGTCGTACCTTCGTTTTCGAACAGCTTATTTCTTGAACGTTTTGCCTCCCGAACGCCGCAAACACAGAAGTGACTGTTCTGGTTCTGGGAAGCCAAATGTCCAACCGGGCTTCTGCAGCTTCTGATTGGCTGCAGGAGCTTCCTGCAGCCAATCAGAAGCCGCACTTTGGTTTCCAAATGTTTTGGAAGTCGAATGGACTTCCGGAACGGATTCAGTTTGACTTCCAAGGTACAACTGTAACTGGAGATGCCAGAATCCAGACCTGGGCTCCAGTACATGCAACATGTGTGTTCTGCCACAAAACAGTGGCACAACTCTCTGATTCTAAGTAAGTCCAGGATGTATTGTCTGACTGAAGATACGGACTTATGTGTGTGTCTTTGGCTTCAAGTCGTTTGCGCTTTGACCAAATGAATAAAAATGGTAATGTTGTGCACCTCTAAGACCTGGATGCTGGTAAATACGTTTACTTGAAAGCAAGCCCTGCTCATTTCAATAGAAATTATTTATATATATATCCATTTCACATAGCTGAAACAATGTGCATTCTGCTATAGGAAGATCTAAAAATGTCAGTCCCATGTGTTTTTGGTTTACAGTCTGTTTACATAATACGCGAGTGATGCTTCTCTCAAGGAGGCAAGTGTCCCTTACATGTTATATAAATACAGTGTAAAGTGAAACCACGTGGTGGAAATTTTCAAACCTTCTCAATGTAGCCGTAGTCATGGAAGCAGCAGCAAGCACATGGCTTCAGGTGCGAAAAAAAGAGTTTTAAGCATGCTCAAGATCAGTCCTAAAGATCTCCATGTCCTTATGTAAAACCAAAGCATCCAAAGCATTTTAAAAAAAGGGATTAGTATTTATGTTACTTTGTACTTGGTATGGGGTGAGGGGGAACTCTTAAGAGTGATATGAAAGGGTGACACATTTCCATTCAAAATGTGTGCACATTCTTCACTTTTAAAAAGCTGTTTTAGATACAGGCAAGACTCCTAAGCAACATCACACAGCTATAGTCATCTGAGGATTGGTGTTTACTAATTCAAATGTATGCGTTAATTAGCTGAAGATTGCAAGAATGTATGGGGGGAGGGGATTTCCCCTAATTCTGATGATCAAGGTACTGTTTTCTAGATTGTTTATTGTTTTGTAACAATGGTGGGATGATCAAATGACTGCTGCCATTCTTAAAATATGATGGCAGTTCCCTTAGAACCAAAGTATTGTACAGAAAGGGGTGCCTACTTTTTTGATACTTTGTTGTCAGGGATGGGGCATCTGAGGCTGGAAATCCAATTCCCAGAAGCACCAGTCGACACAGCATATGGTTAGGGATAATGGGAGTTGTCAGGGTCGGACAACTTTAGACACCCTAAGCACTCCAGGCATCAGCATCTGCAGAGGATTGAGGGGGCCTGACAGGACATTGTGAGGAGCCAGGGGGTGGAGCTGAAACCCTCTGAAAATTGAGGGGACCTGCCCCCCTTTAAATTGGGAGGATGGTAAAACTGCCTCAGTTCCTAGGAGTTGGCATCTATGCTAAGCACTTAAAGGATTTTGGGACACACACACACACACACACACACACACACACAATAATAAGCCATAAAACAAAATTTTGTTTTTCAAAATAAAACAAAATCTACAGTAAGATAGAAAATAATGTTTATTTTTGTATATTTGCATAAATATTTATTTTTGTTCAGCTGCACCAAATGGCACATGGTAAATTTGGCACATAGCTGTCAACGTTTCCCTTTTTTAAAGGGAAATTCCCTTATTCCGAATAGGATTCCTTGCAAGAAAAGGGAAAAGTTGACAGCTATGATCTGGCAGTGGAAAATTTTGGTGCTGCCCCCTTCCCTTGATACCCTAAGCATGTGCTTATTTTGCTTAATGGTTAATCAAGCCCTGGGTTTCCCATCTGTTGATCTTCTGAAGGAGGCAAAAGTCCTTGAGAACAAGAAGTGCTTCTTAAAATTAATGTAGAAGAGTTTGGATTTGGTATCCCGCTTTATCACTACCCGAAGGAGTCTCAAAGCGGCTAACATTCTCCTTTCCCTTCCTCCCCCACAACAAACACTCTGTGAGGTGAGTGGGGCTGAGAGACTTCAGAGAAGTGTGACTAGCCCAAGGTCACCCAGCAGCTGCATGTGGAGGAGCGGAGATGCAAACCCAGTTCACCAGATTACGAGACTACCGCTCTTAACCACTACACCATGCTGGCTCTCTTTGTGTCCATCCTTGTTGGCCTTGGCTATTTTCTTCTTAACATGCCCTGACATATTCTATTAGCTTCAAAACCAGTGAACACTGGATCACTGGAGGGCGCCTTATACTCGGTCAGATCATTGATTCAACCAGCATATTGTCTACACTTGACTAGCTGTGGCTCTCCAGAGTTTCAAAATTTCTCTTCCAGCCTTGCGCAGAACTCCCAGGGATTAAACCTGGGACCTTGCACCAGATGCTCAGCCACTGAGCTATAGTCTTTTCACAAATGGTCCACGCAAATTTTCAAATTGACACATCCCTGATTCAGAAATTGTATGACTGTTTTTTTCTAGCTGAATGGAAGTCAAATGCTCTGGTGAGGTAGTGCATAAGTAAGAGCAGACCCTGGCTATGAAAAAATTCAAGGAAAATGAGTTACGAGTATTATTGGAATCAGTGCTTTGCAAAGAACCTGACACATTCAATAGCAGTGAAGATTTCTGAGCCTTCATTGTATCTGGGTGGGGGGTGTCAAGCAGATTTTTATTTTTTTGTGTATTTCACTAATCTCCAGGCTGATTTGAACTGACATGCTCACTTGTAGGTTTTTGAAAACTCTGCTATTAATGGGTCTTTCTTTTTTGCTACTGAACAAAAGTAAAGTCAAGTCGAAAACAGTAGACTGTAACCAAAGCAACATAACGTGAACTTGATTTTCCTCTTATTTTTCAACCTTAGCAGGCTGAATAATTTATTTGACTTATAGGCAATTATAGACTCACCTTACCCTTTTACTAATCAGGAACAGTATAGCAGAAGCTGGCTCCCTAACAGGACATGAAGTAAATGTGGAAAATTTGACTTCCCAACTTGAAACAGGAGCTTTAGTGTATTCCGATCCATACCTGAATGATATTAATTTCTCTTAAGTTTTCCTTACTGAAAAGGTAGTGTTAGCGTCATTCTTTAGAGGGCTCTCTGTTTTGAGGGAGGGAAATTGGTATTACAGCCTGAGTGTACCATACTTTGTGTATTTATGACCTAGGGCTCTAGTTTGTGATCTAAAGGCTTTTATTTAATTAAATTTCAAATGTAAAATTGACTCGGATCCCACAGCAATTCAGGTCTAAGGGCTGGCAAGGTCTGGCTGCAAGACTTTAGGTCTGAACAATCTAGAAGCTAAAATTTTTAGATCTGTTTAAATTTGTGAAGTAAGTGTTCTTGCAAAGTTGGCAAATGAGCTGAGCTCTCTTGGAAGTATGTTGCTAAGATCTGGCAAATCGGCACCTGAAATGCTTATAATTGCCAGTGGTGTTTACTTTTTTATTATGGAGAAACAGAACAGTACAAAGCTAACATGACCCCTCAGATTTCAGCACAGGAGCAAGTGGGATTGAAAACTGGCTATCTTCTGAGAAGTGAAGTTTTGACGGATCTGGGTTTTTGTGATCCAGAATTACACCCTCAAATGCATTCCCGCCCCAGAGCACAGCAATGCTTTGCGAAATACCTCCAATTTAAGATTAACATAAGGAAAGCTGAATTCTGCTGACTGGGAAGAATTATAAGAAGAAACTACACGTGATGTTAATGATGTGAGGAGCAATCAGGAAGGACATGAGGTGCATCAGATGAAGGTGATTGTCTTTGGAAGCACAGCACCCAGGGAAGCAAGGTTTAAGTCCTGCAGTATTGATTTAAAAATCTCACTCTGTCCTGCTGAGAAGGATTAAACCTTTTCCCTCTCATGCTTCATTCCTGAGGACACTCCACTCCACAACAGGTATTTAAGTAGTTTAAGAACCTTCAATGTGACTGCTAATCCTGTTACATGTAACAGGGTGAATCATTTTTACTTCCTGGTCTAGAGAATGCATACCCTCCAACAATTCTCCGATGAAAATAGGGACGTCCTATTCCATAATAATAATAGTAATAATAAAAATAAAAATAATACCCTGCCCATCTGTCTGGGTTGCCCCAGCCACTCTGGGCAGCTTTTAACATATATGAAAACATAATAAAACATTAAACATTTAAAAACTTCACTTGGATGTCTTCTAAAGGTTGTATAATTACTTACCTCCTTGGCTTGGGGGGCTGCATAACTCCACACCCTCCAACATTCTCCGATGAAAATAGGGACGTCCTAAGGAAAAGCAGGACGTTCTGGGATCAAATCAGAAACTGGGATGGCTTCTGTAAATCCAGGACTGTCCCAGGAAAATAGGGGCACTTAGAGGATCTGGAGGATGGTGAGGGGGCGGGGAGGTTACTAAGACACCTCCTTTTTTTGCAGATCACCGTACAGTGGTACCTCAGGTTAAGTACTTAATTCGTTCCGGAGGTCCGTACTTAACCTGAAACTGTTCTTAACCTGAAGCACCACTTTAGCTAATGGGGCCTCCTCCTGCTGCTGCTGCGCCGGAGCACGATTTCTGTTCTCATCCTGAAGCAAAGTACTTAACCTGAGGTACTATTTCTGGGTTGGCGGAGTCTGTAACCTGAAGCGTATGTAACCCCAGGTACCACTGTACACAGGAACATATGCAGAGTGGGCAGGTGTTAGGGTAGTCCAGGATTATTCATCTAGGAGGTCAAAAAAATCTTTGTGCCTGTATCATACAGAGCAAAGTAGACATATGAAAACTGAAAATGAAACCAAAGCCAGCCACGGAAGTGATGGGGTCTGCTCTGTAAAATTTTATGTATGTGAAATATTCTGAAATAAAGCACACCGCTGTAGTCCTATGCATCAGCTACATTCTAGAACAGATGGACCCAGTGAATTCCTGGACTGCAACCCTTGCTGTTGCTTATCTCTGGCCATAGTGGCTGGAGCTGATAGAAATTGTAGGCCAACAACATCAGGAGGGCTCCATGCTGGGATCAGTTGAGAGTTTTTGTAGATTAGTACTCTAGGGCAAAGATCCATGGACCACCAAGTGGTTTGCAAATGTCTGTGGCATGACTGTAAAAATGATAACGGCATTTAAGTGGTCCATGGGAAGAAACGTTTAGGAACTACTAAGTAATGCTGTATGATTCTGCAATATGGACACTTTTTGATCTTGAGATACATAACGTCATAATACAGCAGCTAAATGTGTTAGTCTACAAAGGAATGGACAGAGTTCAGCAGGCTCTAAGAAATATCTATAAATATCTAGCTTTGTAGACTCTGTGTTGCAGTACTAATATTTTCCTTGATTTCTGGTTTCCAGACACCTTATCAAGCCAATTCATTCATTCATTTTAAATGTTCTGATGCTGGTAAGGATCAGACTAGCGTAAGGAAAGACAAGGTGTCATTTCCCCCACTTAAAATCAACAACTGTAATGCCTTCCAGAATTTAATAATTAGGGAGGCAGCTGCAATGTAGCGCTTGTTTTGACTTGCAAAACAGCTACATATGACTTGGAAAGTAAAAGGAAATTATAAATGGAATGAATAACACATGTTTACAAATTAACTTTTCATCGAAACATTGCTTTATGGGGTGATATGGTTTCCTTAATTGAAATACGTTGTTGTTTTCACATGGGTGATTTTAAATGGGGGCTTTAAAAATTGAGAAAAGTAAAGGAAAGACACCGAGAACACTCTTTAATAAAGGCAGGTTTAGGGTTAGAGGGTTTACAGAAGTACAAGCCTAAATCATATGCTAGTTGGAGTCTGTACTGGCGGATTTATAGATATGCACATTATGTGCAAAATTAGGGCTCTCTGCATCCGACAGCCCCCCAAGTTATTAGTATGCATTGCTTATTGAGAGGATACCTTTGGCTACAATGATTTACTTTGGCTACATGGTTGAATTCTAGTATTTTAGCTTGTTGCACTATTTCCACTCTTCATTTCTCCTATTCCCTGATTGAAGTCACTGGAGGCTGCTCCATTGGGATGGAGTTGCCATCACAGTGCCTGCAAAGGCCTTTATTGAAACCCCAGAACAGGGGTGCCAGATTCTGAGCTTTCTTTCTTTTTCTAAAAAGTACATCTCTTGCCTTTCTAGAAATAAAATTATGAAGCATAATGCACAGGTACCCTTCTAAGCAATTTCTGTTACATGAGCCAGCCTGGCTGCTCCTGCCTTTCAGTGTTTTTAGCCAATGAGTGATCAGAGCTGTGATAAGTGTGTTGTTTGGACACGGGGCAATAGGAATCCCTTGGAATTATAATTGTATAAGTGGAGTAATTTCACTGGAGCCTGTGGCATCAGGGACCCCAGACTTCAAGCTTTCATTTAAAGAAGAAAAAAAAGTCCCTAGTTCTTCTAGAAAGAAAGTTCTAAGGTTGGGGGCAATGAACCCAACACAAGCAGAGGGATGAGTATAATGTTTTTTTCTGGCTCTGCAGCACAGAACCCTTGATGGAGATGGAAAGAAGATCCACCCTCTTCTGGATTCACCCACTTACAACTCCAGTTGGCTGCAATGCTGATTCCTCCGTTCCTTTCTGGAGGGAAGGATTTGTCTGAGCAGTTGTCATGGGACAAAGATGGAGAGGAGATGATGGATGGGTACCACCTCTTTGGGTTTAGGGAGGATGTCAGGGTGTGGGAAGCAGCGGCGTAGCGTGGGTTGTCAGCACCCGGTGCAAGGCAAGTAATTTGCGCCCCCTAACCCGGGGCAAGGCAAGTAATTTGCGCCCCCTAACCCCTAACCTGCCGCCACTGCCAGCTTCTTCTTGCTGCTGCCTGGGCTGGTCTGGTGTGGTTCTCTCCCACGCTCAGCACTGCGCTGGGCGGCCGCTGCACTGTCCCTCCCCCAGATAGTCCCTCGCTCTCTCTCTGCACCACATGCCTGGCACCCACCCCCTCCACAGTGGGCGGCGACCCAGCGGCTCGGATCGGATTCGCACAGCCAGCACTGCAGTGAGAGAGAGTGAGTGAGCCAGGTAGGGGCAGAGAGCTGCGAGTGCGAGTGCGCCCCCCCCCAGATGTTGCGCCCGGTGCGGCCGGCACCCCCTGCACCCCCCACGCTACGCCACTGGTGGGAAGTGTTGAGGCCATTCCACCTCCTCTCCTTTGGCTGCCCATGGCAGGGCTTTCTGAAAAGCGGGGAGCTAAAGATGTCCTGTGAACGTTTGCCTTCTCTTTGCTTTGCTGCCCACGGGCCTCATGGAAGAAGAAGCAGGTAGCGGCTCTCAGCATGGGGGAGTTTCAGGGGGAAGTGTGCGCGTTTGTGTAACAGTGGAGGAAGAAGTGCAGGATCCACCCATTTCCTGCTCCATTTGTTTTGCTGCCTGTCAGCCACATGGAACAGTGGGTAGGCAGCTACTCTTTTAAAGAAGTGTATGTATGTTAGGGTGGGAACTAAAATTGCGATAGTCATCTGTTGCTCATTTTGCTGCCTGCCAGCCATGTGACATGCAGCTGCTTGAAAGTGTGTATGTAGGAACAAATGTTGTAGTGCTTGTTTGCTGTTATGGAGCAGATAATTATGGTTTCTAGTTAGGGATCCAATAGGGTTTTTTTGTTTTGTTTTTGTTTTGTTGCTTTTCCCAAGAAGACCCACAGTTTATTGCTGTAGCGGAACAAATGTCAATCCACAGACAACCCAAATGATGTTTGTTCCAGTTCAGCAGTGAACCACAGGTTTTACCAGTCAACCCACCCCCACCCCAATCTTGTACCCCTGGCTAGAAATCACAGGACAAATGGGCCATCAGTTGACTATGAGGGCGAGTGGAAAATATGGTAACTTTCCTGTTCCTGTTGCATGCTGTACAGCTGGGATGATTCCAGAACTGTTCGATGCAGTGACAGGGAACTCAATGCAAAGGTATCATAATCACCATCACATTTCCCCTGACTGTTCCCAGTTTTGTTTTGTGGGGGGAGCCCAGTGCTGAGGCACCACACCTCCTTTTTCTGAAGTTGTTGTTTTGTGGGGTGTAGGGGGCAGCACCATCATCATCACCTTTCCCCAAATTGTTCCCAGGTTGTTTGAAGAATGAGGAGCACAGTGCAAAGGCAGAAACATTATTATCATTTCCTCATACACACCTAATTTTGATATAGCCACATTTATTTGGGTCAGTGTTTCCCAAACTGGGGTCTGCCATTGTTTTTGGACTACAGTTCCCATCATCTCTGACCACTGGTCCTGCTAGCTAGGGATGATGGGAGTTGTAGTCCAAAAACAGCTAGAGACTCAAGTTTTGGAAACACTGATTTTGGTCAATCAATAGGACCCCTCGAAAAAGTTGTACACAAGGCCCATAGACCATAAATACATCACCATGTCTGCAGATGAGCCTCTGCCAAGGACCAAATTGTTAGGTCTATTTCTTTTCAGGGCAAGGAGGAGTGTGGGGTTCAGAGTGCTTGCAACAGGAGCACCTAGTGCTTTGACCTTGGTTTTAGTAGCTAAGGAAACCTGCACGGAAGTAGCAGAGATTGAGAGTTCTAGGGGTCATTTTGTTTAGTTGTTCCTTATCTATAATGTGTCTGAATATTTTAAAACTCTATGAACCAATTTAGCCTTAGGCTCTAAAAGAAATCGAAAATATAACGTAATCTTAAAAAAGATAATAAAATACACTTTTCCAGATAGATGAGTGTGCAAGAAAATTCATTTCTTCCTAGCTCTAGTAATTTTGGAAACTGAGCAGCTAAAGCTTTTGATACCCCTTTCAAAAGATTAGGTAAGATTAGCCCTGCAAAAGAAGATAATAGCATAAATATAGATTTTGCAATACTGAATATAATATATTACACATGTATATTTTAAAAAGCCCAATGAAAGATTAACATCTAATTTTAAGGAAAAGAGTAAGGGGGGAAATAGGCAAACTAGGAAAGCAATAGGTGTGCAAAACTAGGGGAAAATACTACTTAAAGCTACTTCCAGATGAATCCATACTTTGTGGGCAGTATATTGAGAGAGGGTGATTATTAAGATACGTTATGAGGGTCCATCAAATACCCACATAGTCCTCAGGATCTGCAGTTCCCCACAGCACACACACGCGATAAGTTGTGCAGCATGTAAAGTCTTTTTGAGCCAGTTATCAACTGTGATGTTTGTTTCTAATTTCTGTTCGGAGCAAAGGGATGCGAACAAAAACAGACACTGATTCCTACATAAGTGCATTTTAGAAGTTGTGGTATGACCAGAACGAGAAGGAGATCATGTTTTTACCATTTGTCCTAGCTCTGACAATTTGGTATGATTCGTTCAGCATTGACTTAGCTCTTGGCGCTGCATTTCTGGAACTAGTGTGACTTTGCTTTCAGAGTAATCCACGTTCAACTGATCCAGGTTGCAGCCAAATTGTCTTGCTGGCAGGCAGAGGGGCATGTAAACAGAACCTCTCTTGTGGCAGATCAGGAAACTGACCCCTATGGACTCTGGCTGACCCACACTAGAACCACCTGCAGCTGGAGGCAACACTGTTATGGGATTGTGGCACACACACAGCCCCAAGTTTATGGCTTGGATTATGTGGGTTATTCCTAGGGGGCTAATATGTGAATACTTCCACCTTGGACAAGGGATTAGATTTGGTGGCCTCTTGCTCCTTTCATAGCTTTGTAATTCAATGAGTTCAAATATTGGCAGCATGGTGCATAATATATTCAAGCAATCACAGCTCATATATTTTTGATTTAAAGTGCCTGAAGAAAAAATAATAATACATGTAGTCCTTCATTCCGATCTAATTCCCTTTTCTACTTTGTGGAAGTTCTTTCTTTCTCATGCGTCCCTTAGGATTCCTGAAGAAGAACCAAAGACGTGTGGGTGAGAGCAGGTTGAAGGTGGGAGATAGAGAAAGGGACAGAGAGCTGTTTGATGTTTCTGTCTGTTCCCAGTAACACAATAACTAATTCCTGGGGCCTCTGCCCTTTGAGTGTGTAGGAACCAGAGTCCTTGCATTTATCTGAGACTTATCTGTCACCTACCACATTTGATATCTCCAGCCTCTGCTTTTAATTATCATTCATCAGAAAGAGCACTCAGTAATTTCAAGAGGAAACTCTTGAGACCTTTGACCTGAGCTTGTCAGATAACCAAAAGTATTCACTGAAGATAAACTATCATTTCATTGGGTTCAAGATGTAAACATGTGCACTTTGTTCTGTGTCAGCTTACAGTAACCTCCGTCACCCAGAGGTGGTTGGTACAGACTGGTTTACTTTTCTGCTTCTGCAGAGAATATAGTGAGTCAGGTTCAGCCATCCCCTATCACATAATATTTAATAGATTTAAGAGTCGTATAAAGCTGTCCTAACAGAAAGCAAGAGACATTTGTAAAGTGTTAGAGCTATTATGCATGTGAATTAATTTCAGGTCTTGCTCACGATTGCATTTTCAGATTTTTAAAAAACAGATATAACTACATAATAATACATGACACATTAAAAGCTTCCCTATACAGGGCTGCTTTCAGGTGTCTTCTAAAGCTTATACTGTAAGTGTTTTAAAATTCCTGGTTTTATTTTCTACTTTAAATTTCCCCAGTAACTTGTTTTTTCATGTTTGTTTGTTTTATTGGCATTTTAAATGAATATTTGAGACTCTGGTAAACCTGCTTAGAGGCCTTTTGTTCTAGTAAGTGACATTTGAATTTTGTTGACTGAAATAAATAAAAATAAATAAATAGGCAGCAGCCTATTGTTCCCATCTGTCTCCTTCCCCATTCTGTCATCACAAGACATCATTTGAAATATTGATATGAATGGGAAGCAGGTAGCTCTGCACGCTGCTCCCAGCACCCACATCCCGTGCCTGGTCAGTCCCACATATTCCTGTGTTGAACAGGGAAGATCTGAAGGGGGCTTCTACCAACTTTCAGTTGAATGCAAGTAGAAAAACTGTGTGATTGGGAAACGGGCTTTCTCAGATTTCCTGATTATGCATGCTTGTGTTCAAGCAAATGCATGCAAGGAGTCCTCTTCAGCCCTACCTGGCTCAAGATATAGGAAGGTTGGAAACATAGGGCAGGACTCACACACAAAAACTTTGCAGGTGAAGCTGGTGCACAAAGCTCTGTGCTTCCTACTCATGTTAATAGTTCCTGTTCAGCTCTAATACCTGAACAGGGTTAAGGAGAAGGCTCCGCTGCATTTGTCTGAACATGGTTATCTCTCCCTGACGTCCCCTGAAAACTTGAAAAGAGTCAAGGATTGATTGCCGGCTTCCCTTTGAACAGCACATATTTCCCAAAATATTGAGAATTCTGCTGTATTTGTTGTTGGAACCATTAGATATATGCAATACTGAAAGACCAGCGAAAGGACTTGGCACCAGTTTTACTCATAAAACATGATGTGCTCCGTTTCCTTGAACACATTGAAAAGCATTTCAGTGCTAATGTAACAACGTTTTAATTTCACTAAGACAGTTCTGCAGCTTCTTAAGAGGCATTTAAGTGTGGTTGTGTCTTTGTAAAGAGGACAAGTTTATCTCGGTACATTTTCCCCCCTTCAGTTTCGCAGCCTGAAATAGAGTTCCCAAATCAGGTGTTTCCTGCTTCTTTTCTCTCACATTCCCTATCTTATGACAGCAGGATGACCTATTTATACGTGTCTGTTGAAGTTTCTTGTTAGCAATAAAACCAAACCCTTTAAAAAATATTTCAACCCAAGTGCCCTATTACGGGTCCTAGTGTAGGTTATTTAGCTCAGAAGCTTAGGATTCCTTGTCATGTTGAAAAAAAGTTAACATCCTTAATGGATGGCCGAATTTATTTATGGCTTAGCTATTCTGAACAGCATAAAGCCAAAATTATTGCCTGACTTGCATAGTAATGGCAAAATAAACTAAAACATCAAGGAGTGGTTTTTTAAATTATTATTAAAGAGTATTAGGAAGATATTTGGAGGTGTTTATGCTTAATGGGTGTGTGTGTGATTTTACTGCGAAACATAGTGTTGTGTGCATTAGTTTCTTTTGACTTCCAAGTGTATCTTTAATGAAACCTAACAGCCCAGCCCAAATCCAAGATCCACCAGGGTGAGCAAGTTTGGAATAGGCAGAACTTTGGCTTTCCCAGCTGAGCCAGGGATATGTAAGTCACTCAACCTGCTTTAGCAGAAGCTATGCTGGCTCAGCTGGCGGAACCTACTCTGGTGTAAGTTCCCCCAAAGGCATTCCAGGGACATGGCAGGGATGGGATGGAACAAGAAGAGTCTTACACCTATTCCAAACCTCTTTCATCTCATTCACATGACCTGGGAACCTGATGGAATATATGTTGGTAAAAAGAGGGTACAATAAAACTCTGTTTTAAAGGTTTGTTTCCCTTTTACCAAGCTTGGATTAGCTCAGGTGGCAGTAGTCACACTTCTGAATGGCGTCTGGAATAGGGGGAACTTACACCAACTTAACTTAAAACCAGCATTAAGTTCTACTGGCTTCATATCCTTTGGATTGCTCTGCTAATCTGGAGTCAGGCATCCTGGTCCAGCCGAGCAAATCCCCATGAGAACAGACTTCTCCTACGCACTCAGTCAATGCAAATGCACATCTGGGTGTAAATTAGTCTTTTGCCCTGTTACAGAATTATGCCTTAGCTGGCTTCTTCTTTTCTTCATTCTCAGATGCTGCCTTCAGTAATACACACCAAGATAATCAGCAAATAATTCCTACATGTATACAGAGCAAAACCAAACTCAATGCCTTAGTTCTTCGGTAACTTTTTATTTGCCCCACATTTTTAGGCCATATATTTTTGTCATATTTCTTGATCTCCCTTCAGCTTTCTGCCTGCTGAAATGTTGAGTGCAATCACCATGGGCTTTCCTCTTTGACCTAATGACACTTCACTTGTATAATTCAGGAGTTGTGGTTTGGCTGTTAGTATAATTTCCTGTTGCCCTCTTTGTTTATGTTTTAAAGAATGTACAATGAATCCTGAATTAACTATGGGGTATGCATTTTTTTTTACCCTTTCATTGTTTTATTTTCACAGTTGAAAGGGACAAGGACTTTTCCCACCAACGAAGGCATTACAAAGAATTTCGATTTGACTTGACTCAGATCCCTCACGGAGAGGCAGTGACGGCGGCTGAATTCCGGATTTACAAGGATCGAAGTTACAGTCGATTTGAAAATGAAACCATTAAGATTAGCATTTATCAGATAATCAAGGAGTATCCAAACAGGTGCCTTCTTTTTCAAATTATTTTTCCATTTGCAGCAACAAGAGAGTTGAATCTCTTCTTTATGCGCCTGGGATGTATGCAAGTGCGGCAGTGACCTGCTTCAGTTGACATGGAAAGCCAAACTATGGCTTATGAGGACCTCATGAATGTGTGGGCTCCTGAAAAGGAGTGTGACTCCACCCCCTTCAATCTCAAACCTTTATTGGCATATTGATAATGTGATAAGCAGTACAGGGAGTCCATTGGCTATTTTTGCTCCTGCGCTGCACTGATCCAGGCCAAGGTTTGACTTAGCATACCATCTAAATTCTAAACCCTGCCTCATGGTGAACCTCTCCCCTCATTTTATATGTAATTTTGCTTGATGTAATATACACATTTTTATCATTTTCTCTAACATAATGCTGTTTTGACCACCATATGCATTTTTATTTAACACACATTATTCAGCTGGAGAACTGCATTGCAAAATTCTGCAAAGTGCGAATTTAGAGCAGTAGCTATATTTCAGTTTCTGTATTGTTTCAGAAAGTGAAAATTGGTTAGGTCTGCCTTTCAATGTGAACTGAATCAAATTCATTCCCTATCCCTACTATTTGTTTACTCCTGAGCAAGTTCTTCTATGCTTAGTGGTGCTTACTCACAGGTAAGTGTGGATAGAATTGCAGCCTAAGTGTCAGAATTTCGGTTGCGTTTATTTATCTGCACGCATTCCAGCAGAGGAATACTTCCATTCCTTAAATCCTAAGCACACAAACTAGGGATTACATTCCCCTGAACACAGTGGGACTTAATTCTAACTAAATATACATAGGATTGTGCTGCATGAGGCAAGTAAACCAGGGTGGAAATGAAGGGTTGCCCTTTCCTCCTGAATCATGTTTTGCTTTAGAATTTCATAGTGGTATGTGGCCGACCTCTGTAAGACATCAGAACCCTAGACCATGACCTGGTATCATTTCAACATAAACCACTGACAAGGCTTGTTTCATGGCTAGGAGATAGCTGCTGGCAATTTGACTCAAAGGCAAATCAGATAACACATTTGTCACATTTTGATCCTTGCTGGTGCAGACTATCTCAGGAAAGGTCTGCTTACAGAATCCTGCTTATGGGTACAGTGGCTGTGCAACCTATTCACAATATATCTGAGCATTACTTATCATACTAACTGGAACTGTCAACATTAGCGACTCAACATAAATATTCAGTTCTGCTCTGTAAGTCACACTCTGTAAGTCACACTCTGCCAAGGGGCCATGCCATTCTTCATGTTCATCTGGAATAGTAAACATACTTATGAATGGAAAAATAAAAAAGGTATACTTATGAATGGAAAAATAAAAAAAGGTATTACCTGTGAATTTTCCTTTAAGATCCCTTACCTGGACAGATTTCCATCCCACCTGTCACTGGCATTTCTTGGATCATGGCAGTGTTTTCATGTTAATGAAATAGTTTTTTCCTCAGCTCGTTATGATTCTCCTCAGCATTTTCATACTTGTTGTAGTATGTTGTGGTCAGCAGCTCAGCATGCTTGTTTGGAGTGGCAAATTTTATTCCAGGAGTGGCACTGGAGGAAGGGGTATCTCTTTCCTCATATGCCCTTTTAAAAATCATAATTACCCCCAACATGGGATGTATATACAATACTGGCTTAAAACACAGCTAGGTCATTCTTCAGGACACTGCAGGATAGATATGCATCATGGCTAACCTTGTGTGGACACCAGTTCCCAAACTAGGAGTAGGAGTGCACTGGGTGACGAATAAATTGAGGTATGCGTTCCCAAGTGTGTGTGTTTGTGTGTGCCTGCATGCATGTGAATGCAGGTACCCCAAAAATTCAGCTTTAGAAGGGTGAGTCTGATCACTAGAACTACCTCCTGAAATGACTATGCATGAGAAAGGACTAAGCACTCTTCACCCTGTGCAGCCAGAAATCTAGTAAAAATACATGCATACAGAAAACAATCAGGAGATTGTGGCATCATGTGGAACTTGAGCCCTCACTGAGGTGGTAACTGAACTGTACCGCTTCCAACAGTAGTTGAGGGAGGACACACATTATTTAATGCTTCACACAGAAACGCTCCCTGCACTTAGAAAACAAGCATGTTTATGGGATGGCTAGGCTACAAGCTTGAGATGCTAGGTGTTTATGAGGAGCATGTGATACCCCTCCTCCAATCTGTAGCCTGAGGTGGGATAGCCCAAGCACCGGTTTCTCACCTCATTAAAAAAAATAGGCCTAAATCACCACAGGACGTTGCATTTTTCTCCCAGGGGTGTGTGCTCAGAACTTAAAGCTTCTGTGCATAATTGTTGGAATAAATAGAAGCTGGTGCTATGGCATTTCATTTGCCCTTTAGAAGGGGATGCTAGGCTTTCTGTGAAGTATGAAGGGGAAAGTTCAACCCAGCTCTTAACACTTATTCTTTTGTACCTCTGCACAGTGTGTAGTTTCATTTAAGCCCTGGAGAAAGTCCATGTGAGCCCAGCAAGTGCCTTTTACATCATACCCACACAGCCTGGCAAGTTTGGAAAAATAGGTTATATAGATCTGGATTCAAAACAGAGCCGTGGTTCCTAATACCAGCATGTCTGTTTTCAGCCTCTACCTGGAGTCTTTTTCTCCTAGTGGTTGGAAGCTTGAACAACCCATCTGTTGTACTGCTGCCCAGGGAGGGTGCCAGAAGGAAAATTCACAGGTATCCAATTTTCCAATTTCATCATGTAAATGATTAGTTAAGTTAACCGTTATGGATGAGCAAATGTAGGAATTACATGCACAATTTAAATGGCTAGTTTTGAAAAACACACATTGCCCTGAAATATGAATACGACAAGCCAAGTTTAATTTAACTGCAACAAGGGATATACTATATGGCTCAACTCTTATTTATTTTTACAGAACCAAGAGCTACATTTACTTTCTTAATCTATACACTGTATAAGACTTTTGTGTGTGAGTGGAATAGCTTGTTGGCCATATTAAGCCATGAATGAACTTTTAAGATTAGATTTGCCACATCCACGCTCCTCACCATAAGTAATTTTTAATGCAAATATTCCATTAGTAAGAAGTGGGCGAAGTGATGATCTTTAGGTTTGGTGTTTCCAGAAATATCTGTGAGCTATAGAGCTAAAACATCTAAACTACTGACCGAGTTTGGAAAAGGTTTTGCTGTTGAGGCTCTAATGTCTACAAGTCCTATCTAGATTAATTGACCTGATTTTCAGTGTGGTTTTCATTGGACCCCACAGTAAACCAAATAAATATATAACTTTTCTCCTAATAATCATTGGGAGGGGGGAACTGCTCAAAATACCATTGGCATGTTCAAAAGCCTGATGCGTGCAGGGCTTTTCTGTTATTTTCTATGGATTGTGTCCAATGACATCCTTTGTGCACCGACAGAAGGCTCTTTGATCCAGCAGAGGTTTCCAGCAGTTTAACAGGGAAGGAGGCAAGTTTGATTGATTCGTCCCTCCACTTGCATATGGTTCTGAAGGGTCCCTCAATAATCATGGAACTGATGAGGGAGGGGACATGTGTGGAAATGCAGAAGGAGTGAGAAAATTGCCTCCATTTCACTGATAGAAGCCTCTGCTCGATCAAAGATAGATGTTTCATGTACTCACTGAAATTCTTCATTGCATATATATTACATGGAACTAGCAGAGCACAGCTAACAGACACAATACAGAAAAGATTTCCCTTAAGAGAAATGAGTGTTTATGAATCACCGATGACACCTAAGATTGAAGTTCTCTGGTTTGTGGACCACAGCCTTTATTTCCAAAAGAAATGTCAGTGATGTCATCCACCCATTTTCAGCATTGCTGTTGCAACGCCAGGACAAACGCTTTACTGGCAGAAGCAAAGTCTAAATCCAAGACAAAATTTACTTTTAATTTCTAAATGTTATCTCTTTATTTTCTAAACTAGGGACGCAGACCTGTTTCTGTTAGATACAAGACGGGCTCAAGCATTTGACGTTGGCTGGCTTGTGTTTGACATCACCGTGACCAGCAATCACTGGGTGATTAATCCACAGAATAATTTAGGATTGCAGCTCTGTGCAGAAATGATGGATGGTAAGCTACATTTACATAACTCATTCCAAAATAGATATTTTTCTTTCATTTTTTGGTGGTTTTCTTGTCGTTTACGCACTTGTGGGATGCTCTACATTTTAGAATGTGTGAAAGACTCTGTAAACATAATTCATGTGACTCCACGTGGGAATCTGACTGACATGTGTAACCACTTACCATACAGATCCTTTGCATCATGTATTACTGTGCCAAAGCAGCACATTTCTGGTGATGACTGACAGTGGTGTTATGAAGCTGGTGTTATATGTAGCATAGATCCCAAGCCAGCAACTGATTTTGTTGGGTGGCCACTCTAAGGTGCTGGAGGGACAAGACCTATCCATGAACTTCTACTCCTGCACAGCAGCCAGCTAGCAAGTTTCATTTCTATAATCAGGCCTCCTTCCACAGATCTCTTTGCTCTCTTTCTTGGGGCAGGGGATGGGGAAGACTGCAGCTATTAGAAGGCCAGGTTTTATACTGGGGCTTCCAGTTACTGACTCCCTTATGAACTATACTATATTTACCTGGGCAGAGTAGATATCTATGCTGCATAAGGTCCATAAATTATACAAATTTTATGGATTGTATACCCTCTTGTCCTGTGATTTTATTACAACCCTCCATGTGAAGGTCCAATGGCCACATGACAAGGAAACCCTACTGGGCTTAACAGCAACTTTCTCTCTCTCGCTTCCTCTTGGTCCAGATCATGAGCAACTTGCAATGTGCAAGGAGGGAGGGCTGATTGGGAATAACGGAAATGCACACAGAGCTCTTAATGGCCGAAGTAAGCTGGACTGATTCTTCTGGTAATGGGGAAATACTGCATTTATTTTACTTACTGATGTAAGGTCCGCAAGCATTGTTTAAAATTTGCCTACAATTTGCCACCCTGGACTCCTTTGGGCGAAAGGGTGGAATAAAAATTAAATATATAATTAAAGAGGCAATGCGTTAGAAGGAATGACCTGACAACACCCTTGGCATTGGGGTTAGAGAGCCAGTGTGGTGTAGTGGTTAAGAGCGGTAGTCTCGTAATCTGGTGAACCAGGTTCGCTTCCCCGCTCCTCCATATGTAGCTGCTGGGTGACCTTGGGCTAGTCACACTTCTCTGAAGTCTCTCAGCCTCACTCACCTCACAGAGTGTTTGTTGTGGGGGAGGAAGGGAAAGGAGGATGTTAGCTGCTTTGAGACTCCTTAGGGTAGTGATAAAGCGGGATATCAAATCCAAACTCTTCTTCTCTTCTTCTTAGAGAGACAGAGCATCAGAGATTGTTACAATCTATATGTCTGGATGACAAAATTGGATAGAAAATGTGTATATTAGAAATGCAGGAAAAAGTGCTAATCAATTTTTGTGAAGACTTTTTTGTTTTTTAATTCATAAGCTGATGTGGAACCTTAGAAAACTGAACTTAAGGCTGTAAAAAATGGGAAATAGAGAGGAAAACAAAACGACTGATTTTTCCGTGCTGGTGGTAGTTTTGTCGTCTAACCCAGCAGTTCATTGGCACATAATATATTGGATAAAAGATATTTCAGTAACCTTGGAGATGGTGAACAAAATGCAGTAGCTCTTTCACCAGTACAACCACAGCTTTTTAAACCCTGAACTCGACGGAACTCAGTTCCAGCACCTCTCAGATGGGCACCATTGCCATTATAAGGGAGGCATTCATAGTGAGCTCCAGCACCTCTTTTTTTAAAATAGAAAAATAGCACTGAGTACAACATTGCAAGTCATGGTGTTTTCACTGATGCAGGGAACAAATGCAGAATGTCCTACTTTTGCTGCAATTCAGACATGCACTTGCATAAGTCTCATGTCTGGGCAGTGGCTCTGATTAGTGCAGGATTATGGCAGTGCAACTGAATTCATGTAAACAGGGGTCCTTTGCCTATATAATCTAAGTATTAATTTAGGTTTCCTGGACATAGGCAGGATTCGGCCATCAGAAACGGTGTGCGGGCGCAAATCACTTAAATGTCAGAAGTGCAAAATTTTTAAATATCTCAAAAACTTCTCCTTGCCAAAAAGAAAGTTCACTTATTGAAATACGGCAACCCTAATTAATCAATTACAAAGAAAGGTAATGGCTCAAAGCCCAAATAAACTCCACTAGGCTAGCTAGGAATAAGGTCAGTATAATATGTTAGTATAGATACTACCAAAGGAGTCAAATGATTGCATTGCCAGAACACAAACTGAAAACTCTATTTTTGGTTTTGGTGCTACCATTGGAAATCCTGACGGTTCAAATTAAATTAATAGACATAAGAAAACCTCAGTAAAGAGGGAAAAAATGTACTGTTGACTTTGGTCCAATGCACATAGCAATTGGGCCTGGGCTTGCTGCTTAAAAACTTCTGAGCAGGTTAATTGTGCTTTATAACATGATCAGAAAAGATAATTAAAACTCACATATGGAAATCGCTTGATCCTGTTGTGGCCGGTGACCCAAGGCAACTGACAAGAAGCTGAACCAGACAGGCATTTTTGTGAGCCACCACAGATACACTGGTCCTGTGAAAGGGCCTTTGGAAAAACAACAACAACATTCCATCAGTTTTACCTAATCTTTAAATGAAATTTCAAGCAATTGAAGTGTCCATTCATGCAAAAGGGAAACAGAAGCAGATTCCACTGAAATATATCTGATGTGGTGCTGGAGGGCTTTTGGTGCTAGTTTTTGTAGTCTTTTGAGCATAGAGAAACGTGGGTGACATGATCTAGTATGCAAATAGGCATGCCCTCTGCTCTGAATGTAGGCTTTACCACACACCAAGATCACTGGTTAGCTTGTCTCATACCGTTGACAAAAGCCAGGGACTGCCTCTTCCAGTTGCAACATTGTCTGTGTAACCTAGATTTCAGCCCCATCACTTTTGCTGTGAGCTTTGGTCCTTAAGTCTTGTTGAATTAAAACAAATTCCTTATGGCTTTCCTTTGGGATTGTGGCTCTTAACTGTAAATCCTTTGTTATACTAGGAGCAGGAAAGAAAAATATGTGGTATGAAATAACCATATATTGAGAACATCTATTCTATGGGAAAATGTCTGGTTGTTATAGTTCATGTTTCTCCCCCAATAATGCTGAGAAAAGTACAAAAGGCCACATGGCATTGGAATCCATTTTTAAAAAATGATATTTTGTACCATAAGCATCATTTCTGAATGAAATGTAGCTGATTTTCTGCTAAAACCACATTTTATATTGAATTGTAGGTCCAAAGAGCAACAAAACACATATGGAAGCTGTCAACATACAATTTAGTTTCCCCAGGGCTGCAGTAAATTAAGAAAGGATCATGTTGTTGTTGTTTTAATTCTCCCTTCTAATGTCTGCCTATCTCTTTCCAATAATCCACTGGGTACCTTGAAGTTTACATTCTAGGCTTTTGGTGACTGAAAACATTTATGGTCTTAAAGGAGAGTTGATGACTCTTACACTGATACAAGACATGAGAGGCAAGTTACTGAATTTCAGTGTAAAATGTATGTAGCTTCAGAAAACTTTTTTTTTTTTTTGAGGGGACAGGAGAAATATCTTGCACTCCTTTCTCATATACACAGAACATTCTTTAAGATTTTTGACATCCTGTGTATCAGCACCTGTGTTTTGATACATAAAATAGAACAAAAGAAACTGAAGTCTGCTTTTGTGGTTTACGTTTTTTTGAGGTTGTAAGGAAACAACATGCTTCTGCTGAAAAGCAATATGTATTTTTATTATTATTTATTTAATTTGTATAGTGCCCTTCATCTAAAGATCACAGGGCGGTTCACAACATAAAAATACAAAATGAGAACACAAAATACATAATAAAACAAAAACAATCCAATTTTCCCTCTCCCACAAGCACATTTTAAAGTCCGTAGAATTTTAATCAGCCCATGGCTTTATTACAGAGAAACGTTTTTTGCCTGGTGCCTGAAGATATGTAATGAAGGTGTCAGGTGAGTCTCCCTGGGGAGAGCATTACACAAGTGGGGAGCCACACATAAAAGGCCCACTCTGGTGTTGCCGCTATCCAGACCTTTTGTGGAGAAGGCACATGAAGAAGGGCTTCAGCTGATGATCACAGGGTTCAGGTCGGTTCAATATGTAGGATGAAATTCATTGAAATATTATGTTTGTTTTTAAGTCTAGAGCTGTAAGGTTTATGAAGATGTGGATTAGTCCAGGGGTTCCCAAACTATGTTCCTTCATTCATGGCATGTCTGCAAAATGGAAATTAAAAACCATACAGGATTTAGCACCGTGCGTTACAGTTCCTGCAACAGGCAGAAAAATCATTGAGTTGTCTGCCAAGATCCCTAGCAATTATCAAGTGGGAAAGAAAAGTTTAGGAACCATTGGATTAATCCATTCCAGTGTTAGCTAATGGGTTGGTTTTAATGGGTGAGGCTAAAGGCCAAAGTAGATGAGTCAATGGAGAACTGTGATTGGATCACCATGTCTTTGATTTCTTGTTAAAAGCCACTGTGGGACCACTGGGGAAGGTGGCTAGTCTTTCTCCTCTACCCATCATTTTTCTTGATGAAAATCACTTTTCCTTCCTGAAGGTGCTGTTTGATCTGTTAGGAAAATATCTGTAGGTGTTCCCTGCAGGGGCAAATAACAACTTTAAGAGGAGAATTTTTCACTAGGAAATTGGTGGGGGGACGGATCTTCCTTCCCATTGCTTCCATAGCTGTATTTATTTTCTCAGTCTCGGTCCCAATCTCTCTCTCTCTCTCTCTCTCTCCAAACATTTAAAGTAACAGGAGATCTGATTACAGATTTCAATCATCTAATTTGGGAGGCATCTAATCTGAGAGTTTCACAGTGTAAGAATTGTCCCAAGGGAATGCTGTTGTTGTGAGTTTTCAGTTTTGTTTGCCCCCTCTCATTTGATGCTTATCACACAAAGTAATTGAAATGCTGTACAGCACATTGTACATTCTGGCGTCTAGGCCTTGTTCTGTTTTATTTCTGGGTTTTCTATTTATGCAAGCCTGTTCCTGAATGCTATTATTTAATCTCTTGTTTGCAATAGTTTCTTAAATACCAGTGTGTTTTCCCCTGTGGAGTCTATTCACAGTAGCCCATCAAGTTTGCATTGTGTATTTCCCATTTATTATAAATAGCAAATTTTCTCTGCAGCCCTGCTGAATATACGTCTTATTCAGTGTATAAAAGAGATTGTAAACATTTGGGGACATGATTCAGATGCTGCTGGGCTCCACTGATGTATAGCACAGAACACAACTCTCAATTATGCAGTGTAACAAATGATTGAGGACATTTTTGGCTTGGTTTAATACACATCAGAAAGTGTTAGTGTGATCAGTGGGAGACTGGGCTGATACAGAATCACTTTAATACAGAAGATAACTGTTGTTTAGATATAAAAAGAGGTACATTTGTTTGAAAAATCACTGTCCTTTTCGTTCCTTTAATGAAGTCATTTATTAAGGATTCCTGTTTACTTTCCATGCTATCATCTTTTTGTGATCATTACAAATGAGTCAAACTGGGATAAAAAGCAACACTCCTACACACCATTCAGAGCTGGAACTGTATTAAATTGGAATGGTGGGTCAAGTATTTCATGAGCACATTTTCTACAATGATTACAACATTTTTCTCTTTTTTAAATAATCTGTCAGGCCGCACTGAAAGAATGTGTAAAACATTCCCCTGAAATATTCATAAATCTTTCAAGAGGTTTGCCTTAAAGTGCTTTTCAGATATCATTTTCAGCATGTACAGATAAACCCCAAAGCAACTCTGTCAAATTAATTCTACTAATTCTGACCTTAGCCATGAGATGGATTTTTATTTTTTAAAACCATTTGGCTACAGTTCAGTCTTAAGAATTTAGCTCTTTTGACTTTCATTTTTAATGCCAAACAAATGAATTTTAAAGATGGGTTCCCATTCACTATAAGCGGTGGGAAGGAGAAATGAGCCTTTCGTTTATGCACCCCTGACCCTGATCCCATGTAGGAAATAGTATGAAATGAGGTGTAAAGGCCCATATAACTTCCCCACCATGATCTACCCCCACCCTTTGTGGTGGACAGGTTGCATGGCACAGCTTACACATATACGTGCATCCCACCGTGGCGCCCATTTGCACTATACAGTGGTACCTTGGGTTAAGAACTTAATTTGTTCTGGAGGTCCGTTCTTAACCTGAAACTGTTCTTAACCTGATACCACTTTAGCTAATGGGGCCTCCTGCTGCTGCCGTGCTGCCAGAGCATGATTTCTGTTCTCATCCTGAAGTAAAGTTCTTAACCCGAGGTACTATTTCTGGGTTAGCAGAGTCTGTAACCTGAAGTGTCTGTAACCTGAGGTACCACTGTACATTTTTAAAAGTACTAAACCACTTTAAACAGTCATGGCTTCCCTCAAAGAATCTTGGGAGCTGTAGGTTGTTAAGGTTGCTACGGGTTCTTAGGAGGTCCCTATTCTCTTCACAGAGCTACAATTCCCAGAATTCCCAACCGAGAAGGGAGTTTGACTGTTAAACCATTCTGCGAACATGAGCTCTGTCAGGGGACCAGCGGTCTCCTAACAACTCTCTGCATGGTTTAGCAGTTAGGAGAATGGAAGTCCCAGTGGCAGCCACACATATTTCTAACTAGTTAATAGCCTGTGATATTTAACAAATGGGGTGGAAAGTGTTGGTGGGAGGAGGCTTCCTTCACCTCCTGGTCCTTCACTCTCACATTCCCAGCTTTCCCACTCAGCCCCTTTGTTCTCAACATCTCTCTCCCCTCCCCTGCTAAAGGTGAGATGGAGCAGCTGGTGATGCAATTTCTTTGTCCTCCAAAGCATATTTCAGGTGGAGGAAAATATGGGGCAGTTTGGGACTGGGCAACAGGTTTCTGCCACACAGTAGAGGAGCTGGCTTGCAGAAGGCTGAGGAGTGGGAATCAATCTGTTTCTGCATTGAAATGTGCATTTGAGTCCATAGTTGTGCAATTCTAAAACGTTTTTCTATCAAAAATTTTAAATACATTGGTACCTTGGTTTAAGAACAGCTTAGTTTATGAACAACTTGGATTAAGAACGCTGCATACCTGGAAGTAGGTGTTTTGGTTTGTGAACTTTGCCTTGGAATAAGAACATGTTTCACTTCTTGTTGAGTGTGTTCCATTTGTAAATTGAGTCCCCTCTGCTATGGGAAAGAATGCCTTGGTTTAAGAATGGACTTCTGGAATGGATTAAATTCATAAACCAAGATACCACTGTATAATTGTTAAATTCTCTCTCTTAGTTGAGAACTGTGTTGGAACATTCAGAGGGCTGGACTATATGGCCCTTGGGGTCCCTTCCAACTCTACTAATCTATGATTCCATGTGTGTGAAAGATGCTGAATAACTAAGTTCCAACACATATGTGGATTTTGGACAGTGCAGATAAGACCAGCTTGCATTGGAATTCACCAGCAATCCAGTGTCCCTAGAGACACGTCTCAAATGTGTTCCCTCCTTCCTTCCCTCCTCCTGCAGCCAACATTTGGGTTGGGGTATGTGAAACATTTGAAATTGCATTGCTGCCTCTCCAAGGTTGGGTCCTGGGTCACCGACATATCCCTTTCCTCCTCCCCTGAACTGCTTGCCTTCCTCCTGTTTCTTATTACTCCATAACAAAGATTATATGAAAAGATTATTCTGGCATGATAATTATTTGTGCTAATGCATCAGTGAAAATGGTTTCTTTGGGCAACGTCAGACTTACAAAGGCCTAAGCAGCATGTCAGTTTGAGCTCTTTTATAATCCCTGAAGAAAGATTTACAGATTGAGGTGGGGAGTTTTCCTTGCAAATTCCCGAAACGTATTTTCTTTACGCATCAATGGGCAAAATTAAATATAGTGTGTAATGAGACTAAATGAAAGAAATTGGGTTTGGAGTGGAATTAAATTAGTAGTGTCAGCTTGGCCTCCCCCCCCCTTTTCTTTTGCTAGCCAAATGTTTTGAAAAGCTATAGCTACCTTCAAGTTGTAGAAAGTATTGGTGAAAAATGACAAGGAATTTCCTTCCATGCAAATGCACTTGTAATTTGCAATTCAAAAACCCCTTATAGCAGCTTATGGTTTTCTTTAGAATCAGATGGATAAAGAAAGTTCATTTTGCCTGTCAAGCCAACAGCTTAAAAAATAATTAGAGCTGTGTTGAGCCTTTCAGAGGTACAGTCAAACCTTGGTTGTCGAACGTAATCTGTTCCGGAAGACTGTTTGACAACCAAGGTGCAGCTTCCTATTGGTTGCAAGAGCTTCTTGCACTCAAGCAGAAGCCGTGTCAGACGTTCGGGAGCCGAAACGTTAAAAAACGGAGCTGTCCAAGAACCGAGGTTTGACTGTAGTGGGATTTGAGTGGACAACAGTGGGAAGAAAAATTAACGTTCGGACTGGTGAAAGTTTTAAAATTTGGGAAGGCAGAGGAGCTTATCAGTAAAGATGAGGGTGGACAGCATCTTTTCTTAAAACCACAGAGCACTTGCAGTTAGTGGCTAGCCAGGCCACCTTGTTCCTTTCCCATTACCCCTTCTCTTGGTTGCCACAACATCATGAAGTGGTGCCGTTCTAGATGCTTTGTTTGTGAAGGAGAAGTTGGGGGTCCCCCTTCCGACCCCTCTGAGAATGTCGCCAAAAATGTGGTCTTGTTGGTGATGCTGCAAAACTGAGAGGGCATTCTTCACCCAGCAGTTAGAATAAATTTGTGCACCTATCAAGAGAAAATAAATAAATTCATACCCCATGTTTATAAATGGCCTTATTGGGACAAGTAAATAAGTTCTAACATATTTCACAACTGCATGACACTATCCCAGACCTCGCAGTGCAGGGGAAGAAGAAGAAGAGGATGAGGAGTTTGGATTTGATATCCCGCTTTCTCACTATGCAAAGGAGTCTCAAAGCAGCTAACAATCTCCTTTCCCTTCCTCCCCCACAACAAACACTCTGAGGTAAGTGGGGCTGAGAGACTTCAGAGAAGTGTGACTAGCCCAAGGTCTCCCAGCAGCTGCATGTGGAGGAGTGGGGAAGCGAACCTGGTTCACCAGATTATGAGTCTACAGCTCTTATTTTTTTTAAAATGATATTTATTGAAAAAAAAATTTCTTTAAAGTTACAAAAGAAAAACAAAGTAGAAAAAGAGAAAAACAAGCCACTTCCAACCATACATATACAAATTCAAAATAAGAGAGGAAAAAAACCACAAAAATACACCACAAACATTTAAAAACATTTAAAAACAAATCCATTATTCTCAACTCCTCAACTATCATTACCCTCTTTCCTTGACCTCCTCCTCCTCCCCTTCCTTGTATCCTGGTTGTTAATTGTCACAGCAAATCCTTTCCATATTTCATAATATTCTGTCATTACATTACCTTAAACTATTTTAATCTTATCTTACTATAAAAACCTTGAAACTTAAAACTTAAATCTTATTTTTACCAACTTCTCATAACCATAATATTCTTGCATAATTCTTTAAACATTTTTACTAAAGCCAAGTAATTTCATTCCAACATTTTTCTAACATTCATCAATTTTGTAAAACAGTCCTAGTAGTGAAAAAGAGAAATAAAAACAAATCCAATCTTCATCCAGCGTCCCTTCCTCCTGGTCCCGGGTTTTGTCAGTCCTTGTTATCCCATCGATCTGGCACATTAACCTGGTATCCTAATATCCGAGGCCCTTAAGTCTCTTCCATGTCCCTTCCGCAGCTCTTCTTCATATTTGTAACTGTATTTTCCCTTGTCTCCTGCTCGTTTCACTCGTGGGAACTCCAGCTTAGCAATATTTTTGACCCTTCTCGACAGATCAGCCCCTTTTCCATAATCGACACTAAATTCCATGTGGTATTTAAAAACATGTTTCAAAATCCCTCCAAAATTGAGAGCCCCCACAATCCCAAACATCTCACGGCCCATTGCCAGACTTGGAAAGTCCAAACATCCCTGCATAGGAGGGTCTATCCAACCCCCCATTTCCAAACCAAACCAAACTTTTTCTTTCCAAATCTGGCTTTTTCCAAGTTCATTTATCAAATCCGAAAGTTCATATTCCTGTTGGGCCTGTTCTGTCAGGGCACACTCCTGATTTAATTCCTGGGTGGGCTCCACATATTTTCCCACTGCCTGTTCAAAATTTCCCACTGCCTGTTCAAAATTTCTAATCGAATCAGCCATCAAATTCGTCTTCTCATGTAGCTGTTCCAGTAGGGCATTTGTTTTATAGAAAGCACACAACAGAGCTTCTGAATACATTGTCCTGAAGGTCAGATGTCTATTCCCACGATTGTAATCTGTAACAGCTGCCAGCTCCCAGGAGTTGGTTACAGTTTCACAGTCTCCCTCTAGGGGGGAAAACTTCTATTGAATCTTTCTTGTTACAGACAAGTCTAGCAACAGAGTTTCCTTTTTTCAGATATTTTGTCAATATTTGTTCCTTTAAGGTGCGAAAGGAAACAATGGAATCACTATGTTTCTCTTCTTTTAGCTATCTGTCAAAAGCGTTTGTCTCTGGTCAATGAGCTTCAAACGTCAGTCCTGACACCCCGCTCCAGGGTCAGGACGATGGAAAGTTACTTTACTTTAAACTCACTTCTGCAGGTTTAAACAGTCCAGAAAAGATCCCCCTTCTTCTCCTGCTGCCGAAGGGGGGTTCAACAATTTTAAATGATGAAAGCCAATCCTTTAAAAGCGATTTTCTGAGCTCTAGTTTACGTTGTCTTTGCTTTATTCTGTCTACAAAGAAACGGAAGGCTGACTTCCTGTTTAGACCTTCCCGTTTCAGTACCAAATTGAAATAAAATTTTTAAGTCCAATTCCTTTCTGGTCGCAAGTCCTTATTTAAAGTCCAATTGTTCAAAGTTTAAGTACTCACGGGTGCTTATTTTAGAAGCCAAATTGTCCCAGGAAAAAGGCAGCGCTCTCCGGCAACGGCTGTGCGGCTTCGCTCCACGGAAATAGCAGTTGACTCACAGCACCGCGCCACTTCCCCCCTTCGCTTCGGAGCCCGTTAGTGGGTTCCTTTGCGGGTTGGGGGGGCGCTAAGGGTGCCCGCCGAGTCCCATGGTCACAGGCTTCATCCGCCTGTGATTTTTAAAAGGGTCCCCGCTTCGCCGTAGTGGAAAAGACCCGTTTCGCACGGAGCTAGTCCCTCCAATTCAGGGGGAGTCCGCCATTGCCGATGGCGCCACCCCGGAAGTCCACGAGTCTACCGCTCTTAACCACTACACCACGCTGGCTCTCTGGGACAGGCTGTGACACACTGGGACAGGCGGGTGTCAGAACACTGCCTGGGGGAGCATGTCACTGCCTCTCCCCCTCTCCCCAGATATGTGTTGCTGTCCAGAACACATAGAGCATTTACTGCATCTCAGCCCTGTGGTGTAGCATGGGGGGGGGCACAGCGGTGATTGCCCTGGGCGTAAAATTGTTAGGGCTGCAAAACTTCAGCACCTTGCGCTGCCTCAATACAGCTGTGTGCTTCCGTCACTGGGCTCTGTTGAGAACGACTTCTCCATGTGAACCAGGAAGTGACCTCTCTAGACAACAGAATGACTCTTCTTTTCTTATATCTGTGCTGTGATCTCCTGGGTGATGTGAATATGTACTCCATCTGTTTCCCATCCATCCACTGCCACTGTGTGGCCCTGGTTGCTGGCAACCCATGCTATGCCACTGTCTCAGCCACAGCATTCCAGGCATCAGGGTGGGAAGGAGAAAGAGGAGAGCAGATCACTGTCAGAGCAGCAGCCAAAGAAGTAAGGAGGTGGGCATTTTTTTTGAGTGGATGAGTGAGAATGAGTTCTCTGCATTAGCATCTAGACTGGAAAGAAACAAAATTTAGAGCCGTAATGCCTGCCTTGCATTTAAGGTAATCATTACAAGTTGCTGTTTTTTATGCTTAGCCAAAGCAATATGAACTTTAGCAACGTGATCACAAGTTTTGGAAAGCTTATGCAATTCTGTAGTGGGTGACTAATTGCAATATCCCTCTCCACAGTGGCCATGGCAACTCAGTGTAAAACCGGGTAATTAGGTCTACTGATTTCAGAGTGTGATGCACGCATGATTTAGCCATCAATGCAGAAGCTAGTTAAATAAGGCAATCTTGTACTCATTTACCTGAGAATGAACCCTATTGAACTCAGTGGGAATTTATTTTTGCCTAGACACACATAGACTTGTGCTCTAAAGTTTCTTGGGCATAACCTGTCATCTCCTGCCATTGTGACCAAACACAATTTTGGCATCTTTCAAACAGCTAGTAGTTTGGGGTGAGTTTCTTAAAAGAGATGATTTGATCAGGGTTGCTTTTGAAAGAAAGAATTTTCATTATCTGTGGAATTTTGCTACCAGAAACGCACATGAAGTTGTGTGCCAGAAACTCATCGCCCCCCCCCCCCGTACACAAGGCCCTTGTTTTCCACACTTCAAATATGCCTTCCAATGTGTGGGGAGGACTCTCCAGACATGGGAAAGGATGGATTGCAGCAAAGACTCAACTGCTTTTTCGGACACTGTCTAGTGGAAATCTACAAACGAAACACATAGGGTTTTTTGTCAATTAGAATCCCAAAATGGTAGTACATGTGACTCCTGTATGTGCTTCCCAGATCTATGTTGCATGCATTATTTTTATCTGAGCAAGCTGAATTTGATTAAAATTATTAGCAAGCATTCCATAATCAGATGACTTAAGCACACTGACTGATTTATACACACTGATGGCTACTTTAGACCCACCCAGGTGCCTCAGGCAAGCCCCATTCGGTTTAACATTTCCCCTTTGAATAGCAGGCTCATGATCACAAACTGTTTTTGAAAGGCTCTCTGGTTCGAAAGAGGTTTGCTATGTGGCATGAGGGTCTGCTGCTCAGAAAACACAAGCCCCAAACTCCCTTGGGTGCATGGAACTAGTTGCATGGTTGTTTGGATCCTGGCCATAATAAATAAGCTGAGCCTTCAGTTATGAAACCACTAATTTTGTAGTAGTTTTGAGACCAATGGGGCAATTCTGAATTAAGTGCTTTGATGATTGTAACATGCTTTTTTCTCCAGAATTATCAACTTGTATAATGCTAAATTTACTTACGTGGAGCTATGTTGAATGGTAGTCATTGGGAGTTTACTGCCGAGCAAACCTTTTGAAATATAAATGATTATTTATTGGTTTTTTTATGTAGAAAAATAGAAGTGCTCAGCCATAATTCTATGGTGAGGGGTGGGGAAAACTGTTTCTCGCAGCTTACCTTGGCTGTTCAAAAGATCAAGTAAACAGCAGATAGTCACATAAATTGCCTCTGTGTTCAAAGGGTATTTGGGCTTAGACTAATTTTTAAGAGTATCTCTGTATATCTTGAGGACTTAAGTAAACCTTAGCTTGTGGCATCTAAATAGTCATCTCACTGCTGAAATCTAAAAAGAAACCGACAGGAAACTTAATAATATTAAACATTATTTTAAAGGGAGTTCACTTTGGTTTTGAAGGTTCAACCCCCCCCCCTTTTGCTTCTCACACAAAAAACACTTTTGTAAATTCAGAAAACTTAGGTTGTGAGAAGCAAAAGTGTGTGTGTGTGTGTGGGGGGGGGTGATCCTTCAAAACCAAAGTGAACTCCCTTTAAAATAATGTCTCACACATACCTTTATAGTATTCAGGACATATACATCTAATAGATTTCCTGAAATGTCTGCCAGTAAGGTATTAATCTTTTATAGGTAAAATAAAATTATTGAAAGTCCTTGCAACAAAACAGAGAGTCTCGTCAGAAGGACTCCTAGAAAAAGGAAGGTAAATGTGGAACGCTGTGGTTTGGTCCAGGTTGTAATAATCTGTAAAAGGTTTTCCAGATCCGACTTGCTAAAGACTTTCCCATTCAACAATGAATTGCACTATATTATTTCACAATCATTTAAATGAAATTAGAAATTGAACAAATACATATTTTCCTTTCCAGACTCTCCCCCTCCATGAAGCAGCAATTATTTCATATATATTTTTTCATAATATGTGGCCACTCCATTCCGCTCCCGAACTGCTTAACTTTCTCAGTTCTCCTTTTTTCACCTTTGCTGGTTTCTCTGTCACTGGAAACATCTTAAAGCAATTTAAAGTGCTACACCTGAATAAACATGTTGTAAAAGTGTTTATGTATTGAAGTGGGTCAGTTCAAGGTACGGTATTTGGCTGCGACTTCTAATTTCTCTTTTTTACTGCAAAAGGGCTGCCAGGAGGAGGAAGTCTGAGCTGAATTAATACATTTGTTACAGTGGAAGTAGAATGGAAACTGCCTTAACCACAAATCAAACTGCCTCTTTCATTTACGCCAATGATAGAAGTTTTTCTAAGAAATATAGACCCTGGCAGAGAGCCACTGTAAGTTTGCCTTTAAAAGGGAAGCCTATATGCTTATTTGTTTAAGGCTTACTCCTATGACTATTAGTAAGTTCTTTCTCAAGCGAGATTGAGTTTAATGGCATGATACATTTGCAAGGCAGATGCTTCTTTCTCAGAGGATTTTAACCATTTCCCATCTCCTACTTTGCTATAGATCAGAGGGACGTTGCTGCCAACCAGGCTAGCAATTCAGAATTTCTTTTACTATTTTAAGGAATTTTGTACGCTTTCCCCTTGTACAGCTGCATAGCTTCACATGACACTGTCTCGGTTTCTGGCGGAACGAAGGGTTCTGCATAATACGTGGAGACACAAAGGTGTTCGGGCTGCCAAAATAAATTCTGTTAAGAGCTGGGGGCTTATTTGTTCGAAATTCATATGGATGCAGCTTTAGTGACTAGCTCCCCCCCCCCTTTTTCCATTTTCAACGCCTTCCTCCAACACTCCTCCACCCCCGGTTGCCCCGGAGGGTCACAGTCTATAATCTAGTGTAGTGCTCAATCCTGACTGAACAAATATTATAGAGAAATATGTACATCCCCCTGGGAGTAAAACTAGAGTCAATCATGTACATATTTCAACCTCTATTATATATTATTCCTTGAAAGACTGAAGCCTCAGCTGTACCTATACTTAAGGCTTTTGGTGAAATTTGAGTAATGCTTTGAAATTATTTATGACTCGAAGTATAAATATGTAGGATGCCTGCCTTTCTCTTTCGTATTGATTTGTGTCGAGTATACAGGATTCCCCATCTGCCGTTCTTGTTTTTTTAAATTAAGAGGATAGTGGCTTTAAAACAAAAGTTGACTACTTTGCCATCACAATGTGGGATTCTAATACACACAACATTCTCTTCTAGCGCTACACCGTTTTCAAAATAGGTGAGGCTATTCTATGTATGTCTAGCATATCTGCCTTTCACATTACATTTCAGTTGATGGAGCCTGATGAAGTGGACAAGGTGTTTGCAATGATGTGAATAACAACATGTTCCCTTCTCCCTCCTGGCTTATTAAAAGCTTGCTGAGGTGGTACAACCAGGTGGATCCAAGCTGTGGTCAATGTATACTTGTGGGAGGGAGTGGTGATGCTACCATACCTGAGGAAAAAATAATCAAGCCTGGGCCCATTGGTTTGAGACAATGACCCCCCAGTCATGAATGGTCCCTTTTGGGGGAAAGGTGGTGGCTCAACAGTTGCAAATACTTTGGGATGAAACTGATTGCGGCCACCGGTGGGCGGCCACCAAGACCATATAACACCGGTCTTGAAATACCTACATTGGCTCCCAGTACGTTTCCGAGCACAATTCAAAGTGTTTGTGCTGACCTTTAAAGCCCTAAACGGCCTCGGTCCAGTATACCTGAAGGAGCGTCTCCACTCCCATTGTTCTGCCCAGACGCTGAGGTCCAGCGCCGAGGGCCTTCTGGCGGTTCCCTCATTGCGAGAAGCAAAGCTACAGGGAACCAGGCAGAGGGCCTTCTCGGTAGTGGCGCCCGCCCTGTGGAACGCCCTTCCAGCAGATGTCAAAGCGATAAACAACTACCTGACATTCAGAAGACATCTTAAGGCAGCCCTGTTCAGGGAAGTTCTTAACGTGTGATATTTTACTGTATTTTTGGTTTCTATGGAAGCCGCCCAGAGTTGCTGGGGAGGCCCAGCCAGATGGGCGGGGTATAAATAAATTATTATTATTATTATTATTATTATTATTGCCTTGACCTGTTCCAATTGAGGTTCAGGCCTGGTTATCGATAGGTCTTTGTCATCTTGGGTGACCTTTATCGGGAGAAGGACAGAGAGAATGCAAGCCCATTATTCTTACTTGATCCCTCAGTAGCTCTTGATACTATTGATCGGGGTATCCTCTTGAACCAGCTCTGTGAGATGGGCATTGGGACTACTGTTTTACAGTGCTTCTGGTCCTCTCTCTGGGGTCAAATTCAGAGAAAAACATTGGGGAGTATTTCTGTGGGGTGCTGTGAGGTACTGCTGGGTACTATTTTGTCCCCGATGCCATTTAACATCTCCATGAAGCCATCCAGGGTGGTTTCTGGGAGATTTGAGGTGAAGTGCCATCAGTACACTAATGATACACAACTCTGTTCCTCTGTAACATATATCAGGATAACATCTGTGTAAGCGCTGGACCAGTGCCTGGAGTCAGTGGGGAGCTGGATCAGGGCCAACAAACTGACTGTGGTTGCTGGCAAGATGGAGGCACTGTGTGTAGGCAGTCTACTCTAGATAGCTGTTACTCAGTGCTACTTTGAATATAGCACAATAATAATAATAATGCTCCAGAGTTGTTATTCTAACATGGCTCCTTCACCAATTGGCTTAGCTTATTCTGTGTTTTGGTAAATATGCTTATGTTGATTTATTTTGCAGGTAGGAGTATCAACGTGAAATCTGCTGGCCTTATAGGACGACATGGTCCTCAGTCAAAACAGCCATTCATGGTTGCTTTCTTCAAAGCAAGCGAAGTCCTTTTTCGATCTGTCCGAGCTGCCAACAACAAAAAGAAAAATCAGAACCGCAACAAATCCAGCACTCCGCAAGATTCCTCAAGAATGCAGAGTGTTGGGGGTAAGACAAAGAATGCATAATATCTACAGAACATGTAGAGAACACACAGGACATGTAAATGACACACCCCACAAAGAATGGGAAGCACAGAGGTCATGTTCACATGTTATGGTAAGCCATAAACCATGGTTTACCACGATTAGCAGATTGTTCCATCTTTCCTCCTCCTGGTTCATGTTTGGAGGGAAAAGCTACAACCCTGAACCTGGGTTTGTAGTTTGTTTTGCTCCAAACACGAGATTGCATGTAGCACGATTGGTAATTGGTTTACTGACCATGATTCGTTGCAGTGAAACAGCCGACATTCCCAGGTTTGCACGTAACAGTAAGCCAGGGTTGTGGCTTTACCCACCCAGTACAAGCCAGACGGAGACATATAGACCTCTCAGGCACAAGTGATTGTGCAGTCAAACTCATTACTTTAAACCAGGGGTGCATTGCTTCCCATAGAAGCCAGTGGGGTTTAATCACAGAAGTCAATAGAGTTTAACCAGCCTAAATGTTACTCTAATGTTTCTCTTCTCTCCCTCATACAATGCAATGAGTTTCCCCAACTTCCATGATGTTGTTCTGTTACCAATATTGCAGCCATGTTTTTTAAATGAACAGAAGTAGCTCTTTCACTGAGTCAAATATTCATTCAAAAGCTGTATTTTAACAGTGTAAATTTCATTCTAAATACAGACTTCCATTGAGAAACAAAAGCCTAACTTGTTCTGTTTATTGATGTGGGACATGCTTAATAGTGCAATTCTATACATGTCTAGTCAGATATGCAGTACTTACTCATAGGTAAATGTGCACATGACTGCAGCCCAGATGTGTAATAACTTAATTAAACATGCAATAATCCTTGGTATATAGACAAACTCAATCCCATCTTAAATATTTGCTGCCCGCCAATGGATACATTTAGGAGTTTTTATATCCGATTTCCTTGTTCTCCCTTCAAAGTATTTTTCTACTAAACCTAATTCCAGTTCCTAAATTATTTGGGTATAAAGTTTATTCAGCCACAATATCCCAAGATTTTGATTTCTAGCAGAATAAGCACATGGACCTTGAATCCCTAGTCAGTGAAATTAGATCTTTGGCACCAGATTCTGTATAGTAATGTCACCCTAGCCACTTACCATGCAATGTAATATTGCATCCCACATTTGTCTCTACTAACATGCAGAAATGTAAGGAAGGAATATGGATTTAATTTAGGGATTTTTTTTGCATTCTAAATAAGTGTGTGATCAAATTCTCCCCCGTCTTCCCCCTGTGATTGGATATTGAATGCCTAGTTTCACATCAAGTGTGCTGAGGCTTTTTTCACATCTGGGCAGCAGTCATCTGTTATGAAAATGCTAAAAACTATTTTAACACTGTGGAGAAAGTTGAAATGATACTTTTACATATATTAGAGGGGTTTGGGTTTGGGTTTTGTTTGTTTTTTTGAATAAAAAATCACACAGAGCTCATGGGGAGATGGGGACTTCCAAAAAGCTGGTGAGACATTTTTGTGTTTCTGGTCTAACCCCCCCCCCCAAAGCAGCCAGCAAATAGAGCACATTTTTCTCTCTCTCCATCCTGTGTGCAAGATTAATAGACAGGCCTATTCTGGAAAAACTCTTGAGCAGAAATCAAGGAAGGGAAGCCCCTCAAAGTAGACAGAATTACTCTTATAATGGTAGAAATGCTGTAATGATTAACATTAAGATGCCAAAACAGAATCAGTAACCAAGTAGATGTTAACATGGTTGGACACTGAGTGGGCACAAAATATGCATTGACATTCTTAGAAAATCAGTTCATGAGGTAGTCTTTCCTTGATGTGTCTTCTTATAAAAAATAAGCTAGAGACTTAAAACACTCCTTTGACTATGAACATTCTGGAAAACTGAAATCAGTAGAAGTGGAAGGTATGTAACATTTTATACCCATTTCTCTTAACGGTCAAGGTTATTAACTCATTGTAAATATGGGGAAATTACAGCAATATTAGTACTACAGGTATGGTGCAGGACACACAGAACAGACTGGGACAACCAGAAGGGTTTGAGAATAATGTTTTCACTGTATTAAATGCCAATAGACTAAACTATACGAGTAGCCAGGGAGGCTTGTCAACAAAGATACATGATGTTGATGAAGAGCCTATAGTTCTTTCTATTATATTGCCGTTTGCATCATGAAAACTACCCTATGTCTGTGTGCCTTGATCACAATGAAACTTTTTGCAGGTTGAGGAAAATCCATCATGCTGCTTGCTTTTTGGCAAGGGGAGATAATTAGCTACTGTTTTTTAAAATAAAACAGGCATGCAATTACAATTGATATATCATATCATAGCTGGTTATGGCAGCAGTCAGTGCCTTGCCAGACAGCAAGGTACTGCCCATCAGGCGGGGCCTCTGATTGGCCCATTTGAAGCTGGCATTCTGGCGGGAAGTCCTGCCCTGAGATCCTGCCAACTAGGGGAATTCCCAAATGGCTGGCAAACACGCGCAAGCTAATTGCTGGGATGACAGCAGAGAGTGAGGGGCCGCATCTGCCACCCACCTGAAAAGGGTGAATGCCCATAACTGACATACTTCAGTGGCAGGTTTGTTTAGTTGCTATTATACTCCCATCCAATGAGTTCTTTACAACTGAGCCTCTTGCCTGCCCCGGGTTTTGAGGGAAAATGAGGCTGTAATCTTACATCTACTTACCTGGGAGGAAGCTCCATTGAACTCAGTGAGATGTACTTCTGAGTAGACATGTATGGGGGTCTGCTGTTAATATAATTCTTTTAAAGCTCCTCTGCTAATATTACGGTAGTCAGTAATAGCAGCAGTCAGCATGACATGCAATTACCTGAAACACTTCATATATCAAAAGCAGGTTTCCTATTTACTCATATCAAGATGTTTGTAATGTCTAAGGAGGAAATAATGAATGCTTTGAACCATAGAAGTATTTATACATTTTATTTCCTTTCTGCAGATTACAACACAAGTGAGCAGAAACAAGCCTGTAAAAAACATGAACTGTACGTGAGCTTCAGAGACCTAGGCTGGCAGGTAGGGGCAATGATCAATCCTATTTTAGACAGCAAAAAAGAATAATAATGGCAACTGGTGCTTAGGATTCAAGAGGAGGGATGTTAAACATGAATCTTTGCAACAAATCTTGAAATTCAGTCTATAACTCATTCCGTAGTAATTATGCTGGTTTTGGTGAGCTGCTAAAGGAAACTACCTGATCAATTTTCAGGTAATCTAATTATCCCAGATTAATAAATATTGTTTCATGGAAAATTGATATGCCAACAATTTAGAGACAGGAAAGTAGTGTTGGACCTCACTCTGTCAGCAGTGTCCCTTGTTTATTTCTAATAGTTTCAAAGCAAGGGTCAGTAGCTGCCACTGGGGTTCTGTTGATCTGCTAGCTTCCCAACACCAGTGTGGTATTGCTAGACCAAGCTGTCTGCTACCTTGCCCCCCCCCTTTCAGGGATTGACAGCAATGTGCTGCTAGCAGAGCAGAAGATCGCCAGTACAATATTTGTAAAGTTCATACATATTAATCCACTGACATCTACCCAGGATCTGGAAGAGCTGGGACCATTACTGTATACCAGGGATGTCCAACAGGTTGATTGCAATCTACCGATCAATTGCAGGTCATCCTTGGTCGATCACGTGATCCTGATCGATCCCGCCCCCACAACAACTTTGGGTCTTCCTCTCCCTAAAAAGCTCAACAACTTGGGTCATTACAATGGATCACAATAGATCACTGCCATTATTATTATTATTTTGTGGGAGTAGATCGCAGTCTCTTGGAAGTTGGACATCCCTGCTGTATACATTTCTGGGTGGAATTCAATATTCATTTGTCTTTGATTTTTTTCTGTTTGATTTTTTGTGTTTGATTTTTTCTCATTTAGCACCTCAACTTCCTTAAAGTATCTCTCTTACCTGCAAAGTACTGAGTTTGTACTTAAAAGTTCTGTTGTTTGTTGCCTAGGATTGGATTATAGCTCCAGAGGGCTACGCTGCCTTTTATTGTGATGGAGAATGCTCCTTTCCTCTCAATGCACACATGAATGCAACAAATCATGCCATAGTGCAGACTCTGGTACGTATGCCTCCCTAAATGTAATGACTGCCATCCAGGAACAGAGGTGGAATTATGTCTGAATTGAACCAATGGAATGTAAATACATTATCTCATAGATATCAGCTACTTGCACCAGTCTTTCTCCGGAGACAATGGAAGTGTGTGCCTTCGGGGGTAAAGTCAAACTGTTGGAACTTGCAGTGCCTGCTGTGGCTGTAGATGCCAATCAAGTTGGGCTTATGACTTGTAACTGTTGCCTCCTGCATTATTTTTGCTGCATTTGCAGCACCCAAGTTGGCACAAGCCTTGGCAGTCCAGACAGCAAGACCCCATTCTCAGCCTCACTGATGCTGCCCAAAGAAAGGAAAGCAATACATTTGGCACTGGATACCAGCGGGGCTTTGCTTAAGTGTACTTAAGTGTAAGAATATTATTTGGGAGACAGCATCCTACACACACACACACACACACACACACACACACACACAGGCTTTCTGGGCTTGCCCTTCTTTCTTTATATCTTCCCCTGCTTCAGTAGTTTTCAATGCAAAGGCAAGAAAATATCCAGAAACCTCTCTACTGGGCTAACATTTCATTCCAAGCAGATTAATATTTAAAACAAACCACATAATCATATTTCTGTAAGAAACCCCTGAAGCACTGTTATACAGTAACATTCCCATGATATTTTAAAATTTTGACTCGGTCGTTCATTTTCAGGACCAAAAAACATGTACCTGCATTTCCCACCCCAACTGCAGAGCTGATAACACTTTTAGTGAGTGGATCTATTTAGAACTAGAAAAAAGGGATCAAAGGGAAAGTTACCCTCTTCCACAGCACCTTGTTCCAGCACAACCCAGCTTGCTTTTAAACTTGCAAAAAAAAAGTGTCCTGAGATCTGATCATGAATATCTTGCCTCACCTGTTGGTTGTCCCTCCAGCTGTCATCTTCCAATTTATATGTACAGTGGTACCTCGGGTTAAGAACTTAATTCGTTCTGGATGTCTGTTCTTAACCTGAAACTGTTCTTAATCTGAAGCACCACTTTAGCTAATGGGGCTTCCTGCTGCCCCTGCACCGCCGCTGCACGATTTCTGTTCTCATCCTGAAGCAAAGTTCTTACCCGAGGTACTATTTCTGGGTTAGCAGAGTCTGTAACCTGAAGCGTATGTAACCCGAGGTACCACTGTACATGCAAAAGTCTGGCATGTTCTACTTCAAATTATGAATGTTAGAATTCAGTGTAGAGTGCAGTTTGGGGAACTAATTGCTCATGCATACAACTTGTAATAAAGTCCTTTCCACTGTGATCACATTACTCCAAAAAGGGTCAGCCTTTTGTTTTCGGCAATTAGTCCTTGGGATTCCTACGTGGCAGACTGGCTTATTGTAGCAAGTGTTTTCTAGCATACTTACTGCATGGGAGTTGGGCTCCAAGACTGTAGCAAACAGACACCTCTATGCTGACAATGCCAATAAGTATCTTTCCTTTATTCGGACACTTGCTGTGAAACAATCAAAAAAGGGTCTTGTGATGATAGGCATTTCCAATTTTAAAAATATTTAAAGACATTTACTGTTCATTTCCTTCTACCTAAGTGAAGGTTTGAACCAGGCTGTTCCCAATGAGGTTTGTAGCTTTCCAAGAAAAGTTTTATTAACCACATTTTGAAAAAAACAACAACCAGCAGATTAACTTTCTCAGACACTACAGCTGAATCAGGCTGCACATGGTTAATGCATGCCTTTGGGATGTATTTGGCTTATTTGAACTTGGAAATTCCTGAGTCAATTGTGTGTGTGTGTGTGTGTGTGTATACACACATACAAAAAATATATATGTGAAATGTGACGCATTAAAGTACTGTAATTTCTTTCTAACCTTATGCCAGCAGTGGCTTTTAGATGTGAGCACCTAGTATGACGACTGCAGAATGTGCAAAATCTAGAAATATTATTTATTTAGGTTAGAAACAGAGGAATAATTTCAAGGCAAAGGGGTTAGAATCAGGCATTACAAGCTGGGAAAATTCACATTCCTAAGTGCATTCATTAACTTTGGCAGTATTACTGCTGACCACTATTCTTATTAATCTGTTCCATCTTCAAATGAGAAAGAGGCAAGAAATGATAAAATGAAAATTGTGCTTCCCCTAGCCTCCAAAAGCGAGAAGCCCGTGATAGTTCCACAGTCCCTACAAAATTAAACTAGACACACACATTCCCAAAAGTTTCATTTTATTTATTAAACAACCTTAGAAAATGCATGTGCATTTTATTTCTACTAAACAGTGTGTGTGTGTGTGTGTGTGTGTTTAAAGGATTTATGGTTGTTCGAAAAGATCTCTTCCTGGTAAACGATCTTTTCGTGGTAACAGTTATATAAAAGCTGTTTCCCGATTGCCTGTTCTGTGTTCTCTGGCAAAGACTACAGACTTATATCACTGCTGGGCAGATGGCTATAACAGATTTTAACAGTCTTACCAAGCAAACGAAACTTATTACTGCTGAAGTTTTTATCCTGGCTTTAATACTCTTTTGTCCTTTCTATTACAACTCCCTTCTCTACGGCCTCCTTGCTTCCCAACTCACCCAACATGTGCAGAATATTATTCCTAACTTGCTTTCAAGTACAAAAGACCCTGTATTTTCCCTCAGTCTCCAATGTTTCCACTACCTTTCCCATTCATTTCAGGAAGCTGTTCAGCATTGCCTTCCATATGGTTATCCAAGCCCATTTCATGGAATGGCCTCCTCTAGTCTCTTCCCTGCTCCTTCCAAAAAGCAATCACATATGCTGTGGTTTCACCCCACCCTTGCCAGCGCTACTGGAGCACCGTAACATACTTACGTTGGCTGGAATCCTGAGCTTGCTCCTGCTGGCTGGCAGAACCTTTGAGTTGAGCTCCATTCACTGGTGCCCACTGTGGCTGAAGGAGAAATCAGTGGAATTTAAGTACAACCATTGCCGACTTGTTGCAACAGAATCTAAGTTCAGCTAACTTAGTCTAGCTCTAACCCAAATTACCACAGGGAGCTCCACTTGCACAGTGGGACTTCCAATCCCCTTTTCTCCACACCTAGCCCCAGAGCAGATTTGATGGTGCATGGGGGACTCATGGGGAGAAGAGAGGGAGGGGATTTTCTGTAGTGAGTGCAAATCCATGACCAACTGGGAAACCTTTATGGGATACAATCCAATGTACCTACTGTACATCAACACAAGCAGAAAGTATGGATATAACTCTACAGTCGTACCTTGGATCTCAAATGCCTTGGCTCCCAAACAAATCGGCTCCCCAACAATTGAAACCTGGAAGTGATTGTTCAGGTTTTCGAGTGGGTTTTTTTGGAACCCAAACATACAACGAGGCTTCCGACTGGCTTCCTGCAGCCAATCGGAAGCCGCCCTTTGGTTTCTGAATGTTTTGGAAGTCATACTGACTTCCGGAATGGATTCCGTTCGACTTTCAAGGTACGACTATACAAGTAAAGCGTTAGTTTAACTATGGCTGGATCTAGACACATCAAAAAATCTGTTTCCGTTAAATGCATTGTAAACTTCATACAGGGAAATCCCACTGGCAAAAAAGCGCCATCTGGTGTCAGTGTTGTAACCCATATAATGTGGTTTATCTTTATGAATGTAGCTGAGTCCTACCTATCTCTCTTCCTTTTCCAGGTCCATTTGATGTTCCCTGATCATGTCCCTAAGCCTTGCTGTGCCCCAACGAAACTAAATGCAATCTCTGTGCTCTATTTTGATGACAGTTCAAATGTTATTTTGAAAAAGTACAGAAACATGGTGGTACGATCATGTGGTTGCCACTAGAATTGGTTTGTAAAAAAGAAGATTCTCAATAATATCTTTTTTTCCTTAATTATAGTAAAGGTGATAGAATGCCCTTTTTAAGGAAACAAGGACCTTAAACAACTTATTCCAGTTTATGTCATTTTTCATTCATGTACAGTATTATGTACATAGTAGCATTAATTTATTTAAAGGTATATAGTTTCTTTTGTATGAATGATATTGCAAACGCTTTATTATATTAGTAATGTACTAGAATATTGAAGGCAGATTTTCAGCTAATCATGCCGAGATTTATTTCATTTTTTAAAAAAGCCTTTGTATAGTTCTCTCTCTTTAACTCAGAAACCCCAGAACTCCCGTGACTGTTTTATATTGTTAAAGGAAATTGAATACATTTGGCTACATTGTGCCAATGAAAACTCTGGCGGGCTATTTATTTAGAAAAGGCACTGAAGAAAGGCTGAAAAAGAGAGAGAGAGAAAATGCTTAGCTAAAAACAATTCTCCTTTTAGAAGTTCTACTCCATTAGATAAAGAAAAACGCTGAACCGTGTTTAAATAAATAAATGGCAGTTTAAATGCAGGGGCTGAAAGATTGCACATAATTGTCAAAGCTATTTTCTTTAGCAGAAGGAGTGTAACCATAGATAGGAGCTATGTTACCTCTATTTGCTTGTGGGGTTGCAAATTTTTCTGAAGTCATTAAGCTTTTGGGGGTTGCTTTTTGCCTGGGTCCATAGCTTTTGAAGTTAGCAGGGCAGGGTGGAATGTAGAAGAACAACCTTCTTACCTCAAGTAAATGCTATTGGTCTATTAAACTATAACGCTACTGCGATGGATTTGTTTGTGTTTATTGACCAAAACAAAACACATGAGCCAGTGAGTGAGTTAATGAAATGGAGAATAAGCAGAGAATAACCCCCCCTGCCCCAAATGCCCTCAAACCAGTCCTCAAAGAGCATTATTTAAGTTAAGAAGAATGCTCATTTACTTATTTCTTGGATTACTTAATCTCACCTTCAAGCATTATTTAATAGGATTTGTGTCTGTGACGGGGAAGTGAGGGTGCACACTGTTGCAGAAAAATGCGGTCAGCTGTATGGCGTTTCAGAAAAATTACTTTATCTCACTTACAAATATCATTTATTCCTGTTTTTAAAATATCTTTCAAAAAATCTGTTGAAATACTAAACAATTACTTCTGTTAGAGTTCTTTTTGACAAACCCCCCCTCCCATTCCAGCTGCTTTTAACTATGTTTTTAATTTACCACAAAGCCTTACTTAGTTAAACTGCAGTTCATGTACTGTAATGCATTTTAATATAGGTATCTTTTATGACTTGCTGTTTTGAAGAGGAATCATGAAGGTTAAAATTAATCTGAGAAGCATTTAAAAAGGAAATGGATTTGCCTGTGATTTAGATAGATTAAAGGTTGTGGTTATTTGGAACTGAATTTATTTTAAATAAAGTTTGAAAAGTGTATTTTGGGTACATTAAGTAATATATTTTTGAATAAAGGTGTACCATTTTGAGTGTATGAAATTGAAGATTATATTATTCTTTGAAATGTTCTGTTGAAATACAAGTCTATATTTTAAGATCTAATAAATCTGAAACCTTTGTTTGCTCTGCCATGACTTTTTTCTTTCTTGGCTATATTATATGGAAAACTTGCTGAACAGGAATAACCTATTATTATCCAGAGTTGGCTCCTTCTGGCCAGCAAAGGAGCTTCCATTCATGGAAGGAGAGTTCCACTTACGGAATGCATCCTTCTGAGTGTAGAACAGAATTTTTGGATTGACTCCATAGTTACTTAAGTTTTCAAACTGAGTACATCTGCTCAGGAAGAATATAAACAACACATTGACAGAAGTGCAAACGTTACAAAGCATCAAGGTTCTGCAGTTCCAACCCACCATTGCAATTGCATCATCAGTGAAAAGATATTGTAAGCAAGGAAAAACAAAAACCAAACCACCCCCCTCTCCTTATGCATTGCTACCATTGCTTCCGTTTAGGGGGAAAAGGAAACTGGCACGAGAATTTTCACATGCTCCAAAGGCTTGTATTTGCTATACGCTACTGGGATTTTAGTTGCACATGCGTCCAAGCATACCTCTTTCTCACAGTAGCTAATAAAACACTTTCCATGTGTCTGTCAATTTGAAAAATACTTGTATAACATTTCCTTGCAAGTCAATGGCCAAGGTCATTACACTTTCATGCAAGATTCTTAAAGAGAGTTTTCTTGGTCCAGTTTTAATTAGTTTAAACTTTCTGGCTCCTGAGAGACCACAGTGGATTCCTGATTATATTCCCAAAGCAGCTAACTAAATATGAAACAAACTACAGGAAACGATGTCTTGCTGCTACAAGAGCTAATTGCAGTTTAATAGGCAAGTACTAATCTACTTGATTCAATTTACTTTGGAGCCCATCATTTTGTAACCCTTTTGGAAGCTACTAGTTTGTCTTAAATAGAACTAAATTTCGAGAAAATTAAATCCCTTGCATTTCTTGAGGCAGTTGATGTAAGAAGCTAGAAACGGCGCTGCAAAGAGTAAATAAAAAAACTCTCATGAGCATGTCATAACTCCTCATGAAAAGTAATACCAAATTAGCAATCTTCTCCTTTCAAACAAAAATAAAGGCAAACTTAGACAAATTGAGTAGCTCCTATGCAGTCAATACCATATTCTATGGGCAAATTTTACTCTCTCTGTTTTAAATTGTCTCATTATCCTTGGGGCAGCGATCTATTTTCTCCATTTTGTATTCTGTGAAGTATTATTATTACTATTATTATTACAGATATCACTGTCCATTTATGATACATTTGTATTCTGAATATTTGTATAGTAACAATATGTTTTAAGTGCAACGAGCAGGAGAACGCAAATATTTGATTCCATAAATATCCAAACAGGCTTAAGGCTGGAGGCATATAAAGTCATCATATCTCAAGTAGAACTAACAGCATAATGACTTTATAACAAGGAATCTTATTTAGGGTTATTAAACAATGGAGCAATCCAAACCCTTGATCTGCCATTGTAAGTGGTGTTTGGATGCAGTGGCTGTTTGGCTCTGCCAGTGGGAGACCTCCACTGCTGCAGAAGACCCTGCTATGCCTACTGAAAGTGTAGGTGGAAGCTCATACCAGCAGTCACCAGGAGATCCCTGAATTGGGGTGTTTCAGAGGGCAGGGAGTGGATGGAGCTGGTGTATCCAATGATTTGCTGGATTTTAATGTGGTGGTCTATGTTATGTATTCAGTGGTCTGTGCTTGCCTGAGCTTGAGTCTGGACTAAGGATTCTGAGCCCCTGTGTTCTGATTTGATACATGATATCCAATCACAGAACATTTCAAGATTTGGGCCACTGCCATTGGCCAATTAAACTCTGAGTTATGATTCGCAACTTGGGAGTTTAGACAGCCAATCATGCTGAAAGTGGGAGTGGCCCAGGCCTTCAGAAATGTATATAAGCAGTTTGCTGCATTGTCCAATTCTGTTAGTTCAGTAAAGATTTTTGCTGTTATCACTATGTCTTGCTTCGTGGAAACCCCTCTACACTTCAGTCTACCTTGCATTTATAGGCCCAGTCCAGATGTCTCTGCTATGTCAGGCTGGAGCCAGTGCGAGTGGTGGCTCCAACTGCTCCACTCAGACCCAGTCCTCCCACTTGAGAGTTAGGGTTGCTGTCTTAGTTAAGCGGGCCGCCACCTTTACTCTTCATTTCCCCCAAGCTCCTGCATCCACAATAGCACCCAGCATTGTTCTCCAACGTCCACTATGATGTTGGGAGGGCAGCTCTGCAGCTCTACGCCACAAGACAGAGAAGTGAGAAGTGGTATTGCTGCTAATAGCAAGTCTCGCCTTTCAAAAATGTTCCTCCCACTGGAGAAATCTGATGAATTCCCCATCCCAGTTTCTCTGCCCAGAAATAGTGTGGGGAATTCTGAGAGGAGCACAGCTAGCCTTTGTGTGCCATCCATTTTTGTTGCGGTGTTGTGTTATTAAATAACAGGATGTTTGTTTATCTCCAAAGCTCACTTGCTGTCCACTGTGCATGTTATCTGCTTTATTATTTAAGGCTAACAGCTCTCCTAGGGATAGCTTTTGCACAGACCCTGTTCAGGAAATAGAACACAGATACTGCCTGCCAAGTTGGTCACTTCTCAGGTGTGGCTTACAAGAATCTGTTTTCTTACTTTTTCTCTCTCCCTTTAGACCTATTAGGGAAGTTGGCTTGGGTTTGCCATCCCTAGTAGGAGCTGGCTGACTTGGACATGCTCTGTACTCATATGTTACAATTACTATGTATGTACCAAAGCAGTAAACACTTGCAATGTAACATAGCTAACTTCAAGCTCTTTGGGAGAAATGAGGGATAAAAATTCAATAATCAATACAAGCAGTAAAACAGCTGAATAAAATAACTGAAACAAAGGCCTGGTATTGAGTATCTGACTTGGAGGTGCCACCTCGCACCAAAGACTGAGGGGCCCGACATTGCACATGCGCCACATTTCGTGGTTGGGAGGCTGCATGTGGCAAGTACCCCACGCGGAGTGGTGCCGCGCACCGAGCTGAGCACTGAGTGCTGAGCCGCTTCAGTGGATGACAGCTCCTATCTTGTGCTTGGCTTCCTCTGCCCCCTCAACATTGAGGGAGCCCAAAACAGTTTTGCCACCATGAGGCAGCACTCTTTGTCTGACTCCTACCTTATCAATAATGAGGAAGTACCGTATTTTTCCGTGTATAACACACCCCTGTTTATAAGACGCCCTCTATTTTTAAGAAAATGGGGGGAAATGGCCCAGAGGTGTTGAGCTTTTTAGGGGGAAGATTGCCCATAGTTGTGGAGCTGACAATCGCTCGCACTGCAGAAGCCCACAAGCGTCTGCCCGCTCGCAAACAGCAGCCAGCAAATGCACGCCCAATTGCCACAGCCACCAATCACCCACCAAATCACCACTGACAAGCTGCAGGTCACAGCTGGAACCAGTCTCCCCATCCCCCCAATGCACTATTCGTGTATAAGACAACCCCAGTTTTTTAACATTATTTTAGAGTATAAAAACCTCGTCTTATACATGGAAAAGTTCAGTATTTCTTCAGGCATCTACAGGCACTGTTTGTTGCAATCCTAAGGATGCCTGCCAGGGAATAAGCTCCAGTGAGCTCAGTGGGTGACTTGTAATCACACTTAAGTTGTTATGCTTCTTCCTTCATTGAAATCCATACACATTGGCTTGGCTTGCACAATATGGCAAGCCAAACTATGTCTTACAATGGCTGACCCCAAGAGAAGAACTCACACCTGCTTTTCTCTCTTCCCCCAATCAAACCTTGATTACAGATCCTGGTTATCATCCTTGGGCAAGAAACCTAGACTTGGACAATGAGATGCTGGGCCAAACCTTGGCTTGGCTGCCACAATGCACTGAGTTAAAATGGCCACAGAAGAGCAAGGGAGCTTCCAACTCCTCTTGGGAACCAGCACACTTGTGTCTTCGTGCTAAGCCATGGTTTGGCTTAGCTTTATGTATGAATGGGGCCAGTCACATCATATGTAAGTTTCACAGACTGGAGGCGTGTCAAAATGGTTAGAGGCCTTTAGGAAATCTTTCGCCTTTAGGAAATACAACTTGTGTACACATAGTCCCCAAAAAATATTGATTACAAAAAATAACTGGAAATGGAATGTTTGTTTCTTACCTTGCTCTCTCAAAATGGAGGAGTCGAGAAGCTGAAATGTTGTACACACCTAGCCCAACACGCCCTGACTGCTAGACAAGTCTGAAAATGGGGCATCCTTACCTCTCTCCCTTGAAACTGGGAACAGAAAATATACCCCCAAATGACTTAGCTACCTCCAGTTCCACACTAGCTAGAAAGCTGAAATTTACACTAAGCAGCTGATTAGTAGAACAGTCTGAAATTGAAACACTTTTACATTGAGGACATGGTCTTTGCTTCATAATGGAGGACACTATTCTCGCACAGGGCAAGTGAAAGCTTGTGTGGGACAGAACATTGCCCCTTTTGTTGCCTGTTCATATACTCAAATCAACCAAAGTGGGAGTTTTAATTAGATCCAGAAAATGACTGTCTATGGTATCAGAATGCACCGTAGGCTTACTAATGCAGCAAATAAGAGTGTCTGTGTACTCAATGAGGTAATGTGTGCATACTCATGGATATACACACATCACTTTGCAGCAGGGGTGGGCTGGCTTAGGTGGTCTGTCCCCCCCCCCAATCCCCATGGTCCACCAATATGTTTTAAATCACGGGCTGGGAAACTTTTTCAGCTTGAGGGTCATATTCCCTTTTGAGCAACCTTTGAGGGGCTGCATACCAGTACTAGTGGGTGGGCCTGAGTAAAAAAAAAGTTTTTGTGTGTGCATTTTTCCTTTCTACAGTAGACAACATCCCAGCACTGAAGAAGTCAGAATTTTGACATCCCCCACACCCCCGCTCCATCCTCTATCTGGACAGGCAATAGGCACCATCATAGTAAAAAAGGACACACTATAATGGCGCTGTGGCCTAAACCACTGAACCTAGGGCTTGCCGATCAGAAGGTCGGTGGTTCAAATCTCCATGACCGGGTGAGCTCCC